ACTACTACTACTACATACTACTACTACTACTACTACATACTACTACTACTACTACTACTACTACTACCACGACTACTACTACTACGACTACTACTACTACTACTACTACTACTACTACTACTACTACTACTACTACTACTACTACTACTACTACTACTACTACTACTTACTACTACTACTACTACTACTACTACTCGGTAGCTAGTAAACAGTCTATATACACTTCACTACAGTCGTCTAGCTGTACTAGTCACAGGACGCAAGCCGTACGTAGCTGCTCCGCCACTATTCATTTGCTATGCGTTCAACGGTTGTTACGCAAGCTGCTTCTGCTCTACGGCTCTGTCTTTGTCTCCTCTCCTTCTCCTTCTCTTCTCTTCTGCTTCTCTCGCCGGCTTCCACCTAGCGTGCGCGTCAAGCGGCAACTTCTCTCCGCTTGCACCCTGTCCCCTTCCATGCAGCGGTCTGCTGTCAAGCCGAAGGCTCATATATACATAGTACCTGGCGCTACTTTACTGGCGGCGGTACTGATTTGGTATACGGTCAATAAGTTGTTGCGGCAAGAGCTTCCTACACAAGCTGCTTTCGTTTTACGGCTCTGTCTTCTTCTTCTTCTTCTTCTTCTCGTCTCTTCTGCTTCTCTCTCTGGCTTGCACCTATAGGGTGCACAGCACCCGCCCTTGGGGCCACCTCTCTATGGCCGGCAGGCTTGCCGCAGGCAATTAAATATATGGAAATGTATGAAAACATATGTAAATATATGGACCCTGCTAACTTAGTTGCTCAAAAACGGAAACACGTCTCATGAAACCTCTTGCCATGTCCCAATATTTCCGATTTGCTGGAACCCACTCGTTTTCAGCAACATCGGCCACAAGAACCCATATGGATTCCCACTGTCCAGGATCTCAACATCTGTGACCCCACCTCCTGAGCTTTGTCAGAAGCTGCCAAGGCATCATTGCACTGCAGCAAAGCCTGGTGGATCTGGAAGCAGGGGGATTTATGATGATTTATGTTGCTCACCAGAAAAGTGATGGCAATTGGTATTGCTTATCAATTATCAATTCAAACCACTTGGAAACCACTTAGCTACCCGATTCTACTGATGTCTACTAGTTCTTAATTCGAATATAAAACCCGCTTAGCTACTTACGAAGCAGTTCCTCATAACTTCCTATCTCCCCACCATAAGCCCACTGCGAACCTCTCTGGCTTCTTCAGCTTTTAGGCGACGCATAGACAGCAGCGCCAATGCAACGCTACTGGCCTCCCAAGAGTTGAAGAAGTGAAAAGGGGATCAGGTGGAGAAATAAATTCACAAAGGGGGGGGCATAAAGTGGGGTACCCCCAAATCATCCAGAATTTGACCATATTAGGATGGAAACCCATGGTTTTGGGGATCCCCCATTTTAAGAAACCACTAGATGATACATGGTCTCGAATCGCAGAACATAACATCAAGCGCGGATGTGTCAACAATGAAAAATAAGCTTTAATGCATCCACGTCAAAGGACTTTTTTGATAGGTACCACGGGTTTGATCCATTTTGTAGCAGGCCTTCAATCATCTTCAATCTACGTTGGTGTTGATGCTGGGATCGAAGTCTGGTGGTGTGAAAAAATCTAGAAAGACTATTCTTGGAAATTCTTGGAAGAAGTTGGTAATCAAAAAAGCACATCATCAAACATCGGCCAACCTCATGGACTCGCTAAACCCTGGACACAGCCCACCTGTCACCCCTGGTGTTCCGTCCCGGCTCTGATGCCAACCTCTTGTGCTTCTTGGCGTTCTTGTCGTAGCTCGCTACGTAGCGCCTCCACCATCGGATCATGACACGCAAAGTGTGAGTGGCTGTAAGCGTGGTAATGGTGTGAATCAATCCTCTCCAAACATCTCCCAAACAGCGTCTTGAAGCAAAACTTTGGGCAAATGAGTGCGTTTGATGCTGGGTTCCACAGCTCTTATGACACTGACATGTCATTCATGCAGTTCTGAAGTACAGTAGGGATGACCGCACATCGGCTGACAGATCCTGACAGCAAGTACAATGTACATCAATTTGGCGATCGATTTCCAGCCCCAGAAAGACAAGTTACTGCCGCTGGGCCAAGGCCTCCTCCATTTGCCGGCCTTTCATCACCTCTTCCGTCAGAGCTTCTCCTACCAACTCCTGCTGAAGCACAGTCAGTGTCAGCCATGTGCAGCCTAGGAAAGGGTGATGTCACCAACAAACACGGTGACAATTCAGGGGTACAATAGGTGGGCTATTCCCTGCCACTTGAAAACAACATAGAACAATGAATAACCAAGGTTTCTAATTCATTATCCTCCAAATCCAAGTCTTCTAACGTATTAGCCAAAGCATTAAAATCTTCTGGCAAGTGCGCCAGATCATTTTCAGAAAGATCCAGCTCGATAATATAAGTTGGTTAAAGTGCGAAAACACCCCAGTTCTTGTCCGGATAGGTTGAGGTTTGTTAAACGATGACACTGCTGCAAATTTTCGTTTTCCGTAGCTGCTATATAGTTGCGTTTGCACAGGGGATGGGAATTGGGGATGTCGCAATTTAGCGAAATGGAATGGCCACTACCTTGCGATCAATCTATCATGGTACAATCGATTTTTTTGGGGTCCAGGCTGTAAAGACTGGGCTATGAACTAGTCTTGCCAAATATGAATCTCGAATGAGCAGTCTTGAACTTGCACACCAATGCTTAATGGTTTGAAACACCTTGATTGCATTTCGCAAGTTGGCTATGTCTCGTTACATGGAAGATACAAGTTGCCTTTTGCAAAATTATTCGTCAGTTTGATTCCGGGCCCCTGATGTTGGAGGAACCACAGTCCCCGGCCTTGCTTAGCTGTTTTCCAAATACGCCACAAAGTGGCGTACTTGGTCTTGTACCGCTTGCGCGTGCTGCCGGTGGGCGTGCCGCCGGTGGGAGGCCGCCCTCCAGCGGGTGGCCTTCACCTTGGCCCTGCGCAGAAGGGCCGTTTTTTGGTATAACTCAACCAACAAATTTGTGACTGCTACTTTAATAGTTATTCTCTATAAGAACTGGATTGACGCACCAGCATAAAAACACTTTTGCGAATGATTTTAAAGCGATTCGGGGAATTTCGGATTGAGTTTTAAATATAACATCGTTATTTGCTGAAAAGAAAGGCTTTTGTCTTCAAAAATCGCACAATCAAAAAGCCCGCTGGTTTCTCCTTCTTAAAGCTCATCAGCGCCCGCAGGGACTGCGCAGTCGTTGGAGATCAAATACTGCTGGCGCTTTTTAAGTTCTCATTGCTTTGGCTTGCACCCGCCGCGTAACACATAGCGGAGCAGCACTGAACTGCTTGCCATCGTAATGCCGGCAGCAAGCAATCATCACCGTGCTGGTGTGATGCTGGAGACCAATTCGGGAGTGGCTCAGCATAACGTCACTGACGTCACATACTGGCCTATCAAGAATGGTCTCAGCGCATTCCACTGCAGGCGCTGTGCAGCCTACGAAAATGCGAACTTCACAGGCCAATTTCCGTGCAGCAGCACATGCGGATCGGCTTTGTGTGACCGCAAAGGGTTAGCGTGCAGTGTCCAAGCGGTCACCCTGCGCCCACTCTCCCAACCATCTCTGCTCAGGCATGGGGTTTAGCCAATGGGCAAAAAAATGCTAAATGACAACTCGAATCTAGCATAGCGTGCCCTGAACCGCGATTGCCGCTTTAATCACGCTAAGCCTGTCATAAGCGAGGAAGGGTGCCTCCCCACCTGTCAACACGCTTTTTGCTGGAGTGCCTACGCACTCTATAGCAGTATGCGTGGCTCAGTCTTGGTCCATGTTGATTGCGCAATGTTCTTCTCTGTCTTCACCAACGAAACCGTGCTGTTCCTCTGGAACATCGAAAGTAAGGCATCTAAGGCCTTTTGACTTAGCACTGTTTCAGATCGTGCAATCTTCAATAGATACCTATTGAGTGTTTCGACATTATATCTCATCAGTATAATATCTCATCATTATTGACGCCATCAAACTATGACAAAATTACATTCAAACGTCAAAGGATTCTGACAGGATTCAGTGGGGCAAGGGTTTGGGTATGCAATGGGTGTATGTACTCAAAACACTGGGTGCCATGCTGATCACCCAGCGCGTTTAACAAAAACGTGCTTAAAAATGATGCCAGCAGGCAGCATGTGAAAGATTTGTTCCAATACAAAATACCATTTATGAAAGTATGAACAGCAGCCAATTATATATGTGGCGGTTGGTTTGAGCTCAAGCCATTTACCCCAGCCATAACCCAAGCGATGCCACATTTAAGACCAGATTTAAGCATGAAAGCTAGAAGAGATTTTGGCATGACAACAGAACTGATTAAGGCTAATGATATTATTATGAACCTTTGCAGAATATGGAAAAACTATTTACTTAGGAAACCCCCATCTAGAGATAAGCCCCCAAAAAAAATATCGAGCCGTGACATAAGCTCAGTTTTTAGCCGTTCAACCTGGCTTACCCACCCTTTTGGAGGACCACCCCACTGGACAAGGCTTAGAAATTGGTGGGGGTATACTCCATTCATCACTGCGATAAGCCCAGTTGGTCATTTTTTTCAGATGTTATGGGATACTGATGGATATATCATAAGAATACAAGCATGATGGAATATAATGGGGGTATACTATGATCTAATTTGGATAATCATTGGGATATCACCCTATGGTGTCATCAGCTCCATGGCTGGGAGATCCCCGGGCCAAACGGAGGTATACTTTGCTAGGAAAATCATCGAACTAGATTCTAGATGGTTTTTTTTCCAGCCAGCCATGTTTGATTTGTTGTAGGCCAATTTTTGGTTGGTAGTTGATGTTTTTTGCTCATGGATCGTAAGTGCGCATAACCAATATATTATACACTGTGTGTCTTTGAAAGCTAGTAAGGTTGACTACATGTTGGGTGTCCCAGGGAGTGGCTCAGCATAACGTCACTGACGTCACATACTGGCCTATCAAGAATGGTCTCAGCGCATTCCACTGCAGGCGCTGTGCAGCCTACGAACCTGCGAACTTCACAGGCCAATTTCCGTGCAGCAGCAAATGCGGATCGGCTTTGTGTGAGAGCAAAGGGTTAACGTGCAGTGTCCAAGCGGTCACCCTGCGCCCACTCTCCCAACCATCTCTGCACAGGCACGGAGTTTAGAAAAGCAGCCAGTTATTTGGCGGTTGGTTTGAGCCCGACCCATTTACGCCAGCCATAACCCAAGCGTTGTCATATTTAAGATCAGATTTAAGCATGAAAGCTAGAAGAGATTTTGGCATGACAACAGAACTGATTAAAGCAAATGATATTATTAACCATTGCAGACTATTGAACAATCTATTTACTTATGAGCCTGGGAAAAATAATTGCAACCACAGCTGTGAGGCTTTACTGCAATATATACAAACCACATCGGAGGCCATGGCACAGGTCGGCTTAAAATGTTTGGAACGCAAAGTGTTGTTTGCAGCTCTGAAACGCTATGCCAACAGTCTATACAAAGTCCAATATAACTACAAGCAATCTGAATACATCAAACTCGAACAGGCCTGCATCGCAATGACAAGACTGTGCTAAAAATCTAGATGCATGTTTGCAAGTGCCTGTTACAAATAGCAACTCAACGCTGGCTAAATCATGTTATCAGTTGCATGTTAGGTTGGAACCTCTCCGAAGGTCCTGATTTGTGAAATCATTGTTTGTGCGAATTCATTGTTTATGTTGACGTAGGGAAGCCTCAGTGCGTTGTTGCGCTTTCGAACTTGGAGACCTACATCACTACCTGCTCCAACAACTCAAAAAATGACACAATGTCATACAATGTCCATATTTGGATGTGCTGTAAACACAGAGATCAAGATCAAAGGCATTTTTCAGGGTCAACTATTTTGAGCCTGGTTGACAGCTCAGGGCACCCCGCCCAGAGCCCCTGTCGGTCGCTTGTAGAACCAGTCCTGTGCTCGGAGTTCCGCCAGCTGTCGCTCCGCAAAACGTTGGCTGCTGGTCAGGCTCGCCTCACGGAATCATCTTCCGGACACGGCCCCATGGGGTGGAGTTGTTCTTCCCTACCGTTCATGCAGGCGCAAAAAAACATGGATTTCAGCTGCGAAAAGGAGGACAACGATGTAAAATGATGGACGCAACATGACGAAACTATGGCATCTAGGTACGGATGATGACTGACGCAAATAAGAAATGAATGTGGGTGGCAATGCCGAAAACGATGGGATTGACGTTTTATTGCCGGTTTGGAGGTCCCAGGTGGGAGGATTCAAAAGCCATGGGAGATCATGGGAGGATCATCAAATCCATGTTCTGTGCAACTACTAGATCGAGCTTCAAGCTTCTTTGGTACAACATGGTACAGCATAGGGCACATGTATATATATATATATATGCGTATACATGCGTATATATATATATATATAAATGTATGCATATATATATATAATTATATATATTTATAAATATATGAGTGGCGGACAAAATTACTTACTACCCACAATGGACATGGCCAAAGTGGGTGGTTCCCTATCGGTTGTGAAGGTTTGTATTTCCATCCTATGTGCAAAAATAGGGTATCGGTAAATGGGTGGTCCCCTATCGGTTGTGAATGTTTTCGCACAAATTTGAACATTCCATGTCCACTCCCCACTACTGTAATCTTCCGCTAATTTTGTCGGTTACTCATATGATTATACATATATATATATATATAATATACATTTATTAAACATCTTTCACACATTTATTCCAGCATGTTTCAATCTGGAAAATAGGGTGATCAATTAGTAGGCGCGCTGCTCAAACCATCAACTCTTGAGGTGTGCCCCGGCTTGAGACACTTCTACCGGCACTTCTTGATGACACGAGTATCAGTCAGATTTAGTAGATTTTAGCACTTTTTCAGTTGGCAATCTCACTTAGCACTTATGCCAAAATCCTCAAGTTGGCCGGCTGAAGATGTGTTAGCAAATGTTAGCAATCTTTTGTGGATCTTTGATGATTTTTGTGGATTTTGGTGGATCTGGGGGTTCCACTCGTTTCCATCAGCCCTGCCCTGGCGCCCACCCCGCAGCGACCTGCAGCTGCGCTTGCGCTTCTTCGTCCGCGTGCAGTTGCAGCGCGATGCGGGCAGTGCTCTCCTGCTGTGGAGATGAAGAGAAAATGACGGGGAAGTGATGGCTATAGATCATGGATGATCATGGTATATAACTATATCATAAGTGAAAATAACGCTGTTGAGTATATCGTAAATTGATGTAAATGGATGTAAGTGGACGTAAATGGATGATAATGGATGTATATAAAGGGGTATATATCTTTATGTTTGGAATATGACTTCACCTTGTAGGGATGGAGGTAGAGGTAAAAACGACTCAGACCCACCAAGCAGTACATCTTCATCATCCCCTGTCCACCTGGGAAGGTAAATCCATCTACTTGAGGGTGCATCCCAGTTAGCAAGTGGCTAGAACCCCCTATATCACTGGGGTTTACAGCATACCCTGTAAATACTGTAGATATGAAATAATAGTCATATAGAAATAACATGACTGCATTGTAACACACACACACATATATATATATAGATAGATAGATAGACAGATAGATCGATAGATCGATCGATAGATAGATAGATAGATAGATTTTTTTTATTTCTTAGCCACTTAGCAACTAAGATGCACAAGCCATCTCTGAAATTGGGCCGCAGCAGCACCTCGCACCTCCAGTTGGACCGTCGCAACTTCGCTCTCGTGGCGCTGCTGGGTGGCCTGGTACCCCCAAACTTACCCTCTGCTTTCATCAAATATGGCTGGAAAATCCCCGATCAAAATGAAGCGGCGATTTTCCATAATCATCTATAAATTCATAAAACATTGCTGGACAATTCCATAGATAGTCAATGATAATCATCTATGAAGCAGGGATTTTCCACGTAGTGTCCTCCAATTTTGGACAAAGCCAAAATGAAATTCCGACCTTGGTGCTGGTTTTATGCTGCTAGGGTTGATGTTCTCAACATTGGTCACAACTAACACACATATACAGCCATGGTTTTCCAAATGATCTACAAATGGTTACAAATGGTGGGTTTTCCATGTCTCTGTTCATTAACTGGATATGTAGATAATTCGTGATTTATGCATGTTGACAAGTTTGGACTATGATGACTATGTTTGTCTGCTGGTGGCTAATCCGAAATTATTTTCCCACGGTTTGTCATCATGTTCCCTCTAAACATTGCCATAAATTGGGTGCAAATACATGTAATCCCCGATTTTTTGCACATAACCTATCCATTAGTAGATATAATATATTAATATAATCCAATAGATCCATTTCTATCCCCACTGTGGTTGGATATGGTTGGTTTACTCCCAATTTTTCATGGATTTTTCCACTATCTCCACCTGCGCAATTCTTATTTCCCGTCCTTGCTGCGCAGCGCCGCATGTTCTTCCACCTCCTGGCGTAAGGAGCGGCATTTCGCCTGGAGGCGTTGGCGGCAACGTTTCGCCGGAGCTGTGAACAACTTGTTTCGCAATTGATAGCCTCGAATAAATTAACATAGACCCTGGCAGATAGGGGCTGGAAAATGTTGGACTTTCCACTCGTTTCCACTAAACATGGGTTATTTTCAGGGTCTATGTTAATTTACCAGAGGGTAAATGGCAACTGAAATCTCCATTTGAAGGGATATGGAATAGCCCAAGCCAACATAAACCCTGAGAATGGCCCAGTTGAAGTGGAAAGTAGTTTTGCAACCGCGTATGACCGCGTGAATGGCAGGGTCGATGTTAGTTGGATGGAGGGTTTATCAAAAGAAGTACAGAGGCTGATCATGTTTGGTCGGCATCCCTTGGCTTAAAAGTATAGCCGCATTGTTTTAAAACATGTTTAAACCATGTCCTGACCAAGCAAAACGTGCCTTTTACCACGGGATCTTGAAAGTTGGAAGCAATCAAAATGGCTTCCACATGAATTTCATCATGGTTCAGCAATTTTCGTGATAAATTATGTGACAACACAAACAATGGCTGGTTGGCCAACAACTGGCTGCACAGTTAACTCATGGTGATCCGTGACCCCTCCAGAAACCGCTGCGTGATTTGGTGGGGAAGTTGATTGTAGCCTGTCATTGATCTGTCCTTTCAAACATTGACATTCCCTGATTCTCAGGCGCCAAATCGCATATATCAAACACAGAAGAATTGAGCGTATGCATCTAAACTTCTGACCTCCAAATCATCCAAAATCCAACAAAGAGGTCTCTGTAGGCCCGGAATCCCGAAAAAACTCAGGAGCCCCCCAAGTCTTGATCCATACAGTGACATGTTTCCCTGAGGTCGCGTCTTCAAGTTCTGCATTGACAGATTTCTGTTCCGCCTCATCAGCTGAACAGGATCCGAAAAGCTGTGGTGAAGAAAGATTGGCGAAGATTGAAGGGAAACTGACCACATTACACATATTATATACATTGATTACACTGATTACACCATCTTGGTAGTTGTGACTCCTGCAATTTTTCTGGGGGTCTTTGAATCTCCAAGCATCTCTAAGTATCTTCAAGACTCCAAGCAGCTCTGTTTCATGGACCCCACGTCAATATGGTACCATCCCCAAGTCCGCACACTGTCCCATTGCAACACACCACCTGCTCTGCGGAGACTTCACCCCGAACGCGGGCCAGCGCGACCTGCGGTTACCCCCCATTGTTCTCCGATTTTATGGATAAAAACCTCCAAAAAACCTCCAAAAAACCTCCAAAAAACCTCCAAAAAACCTCCAAAAAACCTCCAAAAAACCTCCAAAATCGTCGGTTTCTTTCCTTGGTTTCTCACATTTAAGGGAACACCCCCATTCCATCCACCATCACCTACTGGTTCATCATCATCTTCCAATATGGAGGTTTCCTGAAATAGCGTCTAAGAAAATACAGACTTTGAGGGCATACCCCCTAAAATGGAAATTTTGTGTTTACCATAGTTTACCCGATAAAATCCCAACTTTTGGTCATTAGATCAGCATTGAAACCTATGGTGACACCCTCGCCTGCAGGTCACGCACCTGTCGCGTGAGGTTAGCCTTGGTGACCTCAGGAAACTTAACTCGAGCCATGGTCTCAAGTCATGGAGGGGGTACAATGAATCCACTGTTTATGTATATAATATATAATATAATATAATATAATATAATATATAATATAATATAATATAATATAATATATAATATATAATATATAATATATAATATATAATATATAATATATAATATAATATAATATAATTGAATATAATATAATAAAATATAATATAATATAATATAATATAATATAATATTATATTATATTATATTATATTATATTATATTATATATATAATATTATATATATAATATTATATATATATATATTATGTGTATAATAAATCTTAGAACTGTGCTACGAGCCCATATATTTTTTTGGTGTTTGTTTGGTTACTAGAACTGTATCTAAGAACTTGGATGATTCGGGGTAGCCCTAGTTTAGGAAACATCCATATCCAGGTCCTAAGCCTACAAAGACGTAAAACAAGATAGACATCAAAAGATTAGCAAAGGACTTCTCAATTTGATCATTTTTGGGGACCTCCATTTCCGTTTCGATATGGGATGACATGGGTTTGGTTTCACGATGCCATGGGGAATCCCGAGCTGCGGCGATGCCCGACTCACAGGAGTCATGACAAGATCCCAAATATCAGAATAGAGCCATCACGTGGAGGTGTCTTAAAATGGATCCCCAAGTCACCATGGGTTTTAACACCAAGTCATAGTCTTATTACTTATGGGTCTAATGACTTGAATGATTTGGGGTACCCCCATGGATTGGAAACCTCCACGTTGAAAACACGCCTTGTTTCCAAAAAAAACATGCTGGGCAACCCGTCCTGCTGTCTTCGATATGCCATGGAGCCTTGCATGCATGTGAAAACAATGTTTGGAAGAGACATAGCATGGGTTTTGGAACCCCAGTATTGATAAAATCAGAATCATAAATAAAACTTGTCTGGGGATCCCCGAGAATGGCCAGCAACAACAGTTTGTTTCAGAACCTGTTGGCTCCTGGTGTTTCCGCTGTTCGGATCCTAGATATCTGCATCTGTTTGTTGTTTCTTTACTCAGTCTTGGCTCGGTATACTTCCATTTATTCATCGTCAAACAAAGTTTAGCAGCGGTATCTCCAGCTATTTGTTGATATACCTTTCGGTTGCATTGGTGGGGTCCCAACATTTTGGGGGTAGCCCCTCCAAAAGTCATCGGGTCCGGAATTGTTTTGTTTTTCCCGAGAACGTCTGAGCGCAGGGTTCTTCCAATAGTGGGGATCTGTCAAACGTCTTCTCGTCTTCACATCTTCTCATCTTCACATCTTCTCATCTTCACATCTTCTCTTCCTCACATCTTCTCATCTTCACATCTTCTCATCCTCACATCCTCACATCTTCACATCCTCCTCACATCTTCACATCTTCTCATCTTCACATTCTTCACATCTTCACATCTTCACATCTTATCATCTTCACATCTGCTCATCTTCACATCTTCTCATCTTCACATCTTCTCATCTTCACATCTGCTCATCTTGACATCCTCACATCTTCACATCCTCACATCTTCACATCTTCACATTCTCTATTGCCCTCTTGCTCTCTTGCCCTCTTGCTCTCTCCTTCTTTTCTATTTCTCTCTTGAAGGCGCGGGGCAATCCCAACGAGACGGCACGAAACGCAACCCTTTCGCACGAAATGAGGTTGGATCGCCAAAAACTGAAGTAAAATTGCGATTTGCAAAGCGTCCGGCGAACCCTTTCACACGAAATGAGCTTCGATCGCCAAAAACTGAAGTAAAATTGCGTTTTCTAGGCGTCCGGCGCAACTCTTTCGCACGAAATGAGCTTCCAAAAACTGAGGTAAAATTGCGATTTCACGGGTCCGGTCTGTGTGTGTGAAAGTGTTTGTGTGTAAAAGCGTCTGTGTGTGTAAAAGCGTCTGTGTGTAAAAGCTTCTGTGTGTAAACGCTTCTGTGTAAGAGCGTCTGTGTGTAAAAGCTTCTGTGTGTAAAAGCGTCTGTGTGTAAAAGCGTCTGTGTTAAAGTCTCTGTGTGCAAAAACGTCTGTCTGTGAAAAGTTCTGTGTGTGAAGAAACTATACGAAAGATACGATGCAAACTATTGTCTTGTGTTTGTGATATATTGTCTTGATACTACTCTTCTCGTCTGCCTATTAAGATGTATAGTGTTTCCATACTAACAACAGAAGACTCTGCTCCTCTACGCTCTCGGGCCATCCGTCGTCTAGTTTTTTTGTGTGTGTGTGTTTGGTTTTTTTTGGTGGATCATGTTGGATCTGCTTTTCTGCCCGTTTTCCTTGCCATTTGCAGCTGGAAGCTGCCATTTCAACTGTATTTGCAACATTTCGGAGTTCGAACCTCTCATTTTCCATTGGTTCTCAAACTGTTCATGTTGCATGGTATTTTGCGACTAGGGTTTATTTAGGGTTGGTTTATGTGTTTTAGGGTTGGTTTAGGTTCGAGAGGCGAAGAAGCAGAAAAGCAGGGAAAAGCTGAAAAGCAAAAAGCAGAGAAGCAGAACAGTGGAGAAGCAGAGAAGCGAAGAAGCAAAGAAGGAGAGAAGAAGAAAAGTGGAGAAGGAGAGAAGCAAAGAAGCAGAGAAGCAGAAAAGTGGAGAAGCAGAAAAGTATAGAAGCAAAGACACATAAAAGCAGAAAACAGAAAAGCAAAAAGCAGAGAAGCAGAAAAGCAAAGAAGCAAAGAAGCAGGGAAACAGAAATCCAAAACAAATGCCCAAAACCCAAAACGGAAAAAAACGAGTTCCCAAATTCTAAAAAAATAGCCCTCCAAAGTCATCTAGTCACTATGCTTGGCATTAATTCCTGACAGTTTCCCACAGGCATTTTCCTTTGCGGCCGGCTAAGTGCGGAACATTCAGCACATTGCAACTTCCTGGCAGCTGCCTCGAAACAACGGAGCTTGTCCTCCAGTAATTGAACCAGGTACTGGAAGATCCAACGTTTTCAATGGGCGAAGCATATAGAAGTGAGATGTCGGAACAAGGGGAATTCCCATCTGCCGGGCATGGTCTACCTGGTCATGTTCCAAGAGGATCTTGACCGCAGCAAACCGATGAGAATAGAATCACATAGAATAACTGTTTGGCCGTGTTATGCTGTTTCAAGCTTTAATCCACCGGAACGTTGATGTTCAATTAATGTGAGGATCAAGAGTCCCGAAGACCGTCCTGGCACCTGGTTTGTATATGCCGAAGTATGAAGTCAAAAACATCAATCTGAGATGTTTGGCATCACACCATACATTTCTTTATGTATACAAAACATTATAAAACATTCAAAAACAATATCAAATAATTAGTCAAATGAAGAAATAAACAACACAATCATATGATAACTAATAACATATAATTACGAGTATAGTTCTCTTCCCCCGACTAACGTAGACCCTGAATGGGGTTTGGAAGGCTGGAAGACTGCTTCCCTCTTAAAAAAAAAACGCCATGTTCATCTATTCTCAGAGTCCATGTCAGTTGCGAAACTGATCATAGAAACACGAATACCAACGATATAGCAATCCCCTAAAACAAGATATACAAGTATAGACTCAAAAATCACAATATATAAATATTTATAAATTAGGTGTCTATCTTTTCGGGACTATAATCAGAAGATATCAGAAGAATCACCGAATCCCAGCGGGGTCCACTGAGCTGCCGAAACCTCTTCTCTGACGGCAGATTCCTCTTGCTTCGCTGCAAGGGCCTGGAATTCTGGGAGGACAAGCCAAAAATCCACACCGTCCTGGAGAAATCACAAGATGTTGGGATATAATATATGCGTTTATCGCATGTTTTTGGGATAATAAACAAATCCGCACTATCCTATCATATCCTATCCAAGTTCTGAACATTTCCGAACTTCAACAGACGATTTTGGGAAAATTCTCCCAGCGACCATCAATCTATGGTGAGATTGGGTTCCCCAGGCAACATCCTAAGAGATTGGAGACACAAACAAATCTGCTCACTGATGCCCTATCAAGTCCAAAATAGCAAAGGAATCTCATTTCTATGACCTGGTCTCAGAATAGGATAGAATAGGTTCCAAACTCCAATGGTTTATCATAGTTTCCTCTACAAGTACAGTATCAAATGTATCAAAATGGCCAATTTGGAGGTGTATTGTAGCCCATTATCAGACCCCCGAGACCTTCAGAAACCTTCCCCGGAGCCTCGCGCTGCATCTCAGTCATTTCCTCTTGGAGTCTCCTTGCCTTCGATTGAGACCAACAAATTTAGTCCTGTCCTTAACATAATCCTTTACCCCTATTACTAAACCCCGCCCAAATACTAAAAACTAGGGTCCATCTCTAATTTTAGAAAATTTCAGATTGGCCAATTTGATTTTTAATTGACCCCCTTTCGAAAACAATTTAAAAATAAACCTACCATTTGTGGGTTTTGCCCCCTAATAATAAAAACTAGTTAACCCCGGGGTGTTTATTATTAGGGTCCGTCCGATTTTTTTCTAGTTTTTACTATTAAGGTTTTAAATTTATTAATAGGGTCCGCTTCGAAATTCAATTTTTGGCAATATTTTAATCGCGTTATATAAGGAAATTTAATTGATTTTGAAATCGGAAAAACTAGTTTTTATATTATGAAGGTTTTAATCTTTTTAATAGGGTCCGCTTCGAAATCCGATTTTTGGCAATATTTTAATCGCGTTATATAAGGAAATTTAATTGATTTTGAAATCGGAAAAAATAGTTTTTATTAAGGGTTTAATTTTATTAATAGGGTTCCCTAATAATAAATACCCCTCTAATACTAAAAACTACCTGAGGTGTTTATTAATAGGGGTGGGGTTTAGTATTAGGGGGAAGGGATTAGTCGGTAGCATTATCGTAACCCCCAAAAACATAGAAAAGTCAAATCCCACATAAATAGTGATGTCCTTTCCTATCTTTTTGGGGATTTCTATAATACCTCCCTTCATTCGTCATAAATGGTCATTGTTCAAACATGTTCAAACCACCTTGGGTCATCTTGGGTCACCGTTCAAACCCACACTGCGCTGCACTTGCTGCCTGCTCTTCGCAAACTTCCTGTTGCTCTGCTGTCTCCTCCCCCCATCGCTGGCATTGCAGCAACTCCTCCTCCACTACCTGCAAGAAGATCAGCTGCTTTATTTTCCCACAAAGAATTCCCCCGGGTAGCTTAACATAGCTATGGAAGATGGCCCATTTATAGATCAGTTACATACCTATAATCCTATATGTAACTAATAAAGAATGGTTAATTTCCATAGCTATGCTAAATAAGCCGATGGTAAATAGTTTTACAGATCTTGTTCCAAATTGTTTTTGGCTGAAGGAGAGCCAAGAGAAACTATATATATATATATCTGCAGCAGGTGCGGTGCGTATACCTCAACCCCCCTAAACCTGTGCTGGTCCCAACATGAAGGGCACCCAATGACCCACATAAACAGCATTCAAGTGCCAAATCGATGTTTTCTGGGGATCTACAACCTCAGGGAAGCCACCCAAATGGTCAATTTTGGTAGGAGAACTGGAGAACTGGATCCCCTACTTTCCGGACATGGTTTTCTTTTGAACCTGAAACAACCCACGGCCCCTTATTCTCAGATGCATCTTTGCCGACAGCCGGCCCCACTGGCCTTGTGTTTCTCCGTGTCAACATTACCTGTGGAAGAAAGTGATCACATATGATCAGATTGTTTGATAAGAAATTAAGACACATGTTGCCACTTTGTACGAAAAGTATTCATCATTTTGTAAACAGCGAATCTTGTGGAGCAGTTCAAGAATTCATGAGAATTCCATCATCCAAAGTTGAAAGGCAGAACCTTCCATTCGGAGGGAAATCCATGGATCCTCTATGATTCTCTACTTCCATGACTCAAGGGCTCCAAACAACGGACGCACCCCAGGGCGGCCCTCCTTGCCTACACTTGGCAAGCTGCGGTGGTAGGCCTGACTGGTGGCATCTCCAGGATCTTGGCGGCGGTCGGGGTCTATGTTAGTTGGGGAGATGGTAGCTTGAACAGCTTGAAGTGTATTTTCTCCAATCCCGAATCAACTTCTTCCTCGTGACAGAGTTGTGTGTGTGTGTGTGATAAAGTTGTGTGTGTCAGAGAGTTATGTGTGACAGAGTTGTGTGAAAGAGTTATGTGTGACAGAGTTGTGTGAAAGAGTTGTGCGTGAGAGAGTTGTGCGTGAGAGAGTTGTGTGTGAGAGAGGGCGGCGGGCGGACGGGAGCGGACGGGAGTGCACAACAGAAAAACAAGAACCCCACACAAAGATATGGGGTAAAAAGTGTCCCATCACTCTCAGCATTTGGAGATTGTCTCGACATTTGGAACACAATTTCATCCGATGAGTCATGTTGGTCAGCGCTCATTTCCCACCAAAACTGCACACAAAAAATGTGTGTCTCTCACCTTAAGACAAACCCATTTGTGGCTTTCCCAGGGTTTTTTAAGACGAACCTAATGTATCAATTGGATGGAAGGGGTGGTTGACTCGTATATAAATATATATATATATATTATATATATATTATTTTATATAGATATGTCTGGCTGAGTTACAACAATACACCAAACTGGAAACGTTTGGCCACCAATCTTCCTTTAAAATAGCAACCTCCCAGCCGATGTGACGTTGCGACGTGAGGTCGAAACATCATCCAATTTGGCCATTACATCCCTGCTATATCCCAACCGCCATTCTGATTCTGGGATTGTATTTTATGCCCATATTCACAGATCATTGGTTGTATTTTTTCCATTCCACCGCATGGAGAAGTCTCGTGCGGACACGCAAATTGAATTGAGTCTCACTGAATTGCCTCAAGCCCTAAGTCTTCTGATAATCTGGAAAGAAAACATTATGGGCGAGGACTTCTGATTGGTGACGCATCTGTACTATCCATCTCAATTCACTGTCGGATGGAGTGACAGGATCACGCACTCCATCTGTATGGATGCGATATTGTAGCCCTTTTAAAAGTGCTACCACCAAGCTCCTACAGAGTGCGCTCGGATACTCTTTGGCCTGCGCGGTACGGTATTTACCGTCTGCACCTTTGCCCTTCAATCCTTGTTGAGGTCGCACACGCCACGGCTCAGCGCCAGAAATCAGCGCCTTCCCAACTGTGATCGGTGGCCCCAAATTCAGGGCACGAAGGTTGGTGGGCTTTACGCCACTGGCTCCGTAGAGCCATTGCTCAATGCGATGATGGCAGGCACCAGGGAGCTTCATGCACCACTGTCGATGACACTCGAGACGCCAGACCGAAACCTTGTGTTCATCTGGAGGTTCAGCGGGGTGTTCCATAATAGCTCCACCGCCTGCATAAACCACTTCGGCCTCAAGCTGAAAGGAGTTCATCAATAATTCGGAGCCTGTGTCGCATTGGCGAAGCTCGCGCGCTGTGCGATCCTGCAGACACCATGGTTGCGCAGCAGTCCGAAGAGGGCGCGGACCCTGCTGTTGTTCCATCTGCAAATTTCTGGCGGCACTGAATGTCTCGCAGGGGGGTCCAGTGAGAGACCCGGCCACGGCACCCTTGTGAGCCAGCTGCAGGATTTGATCGAAATTGGCACCGGAGGACAAGTCACCATAGACCTCGTCAATGGCGGTGTCCACTGAGATCATCACGACCGGGTAATCCGGAAAGATCTTGTCGGCTAAGCAATGAAGCCACCAATGGCAATCCCCAATGCGGCGTCGCCCGCTGAACAAGTGCAAAATTAAGATAACTGTACAATCATTAATTTTACACAAGGGTACCTGACCAGCTAGGGGAAAAACAAAATCACCAGCAAAAGCACCCTCTAAAAGCTGATTTTGCAAAGCGCAAGGATCAAATATTGGTTCCAGAGCCTTGGATAAGGTCAACTGGGGGCAAGCGGACTCACGAGGGCAAAATGCAGAGTCCATGCGACGTTGCCAGCAAACCAATCTTCCGATGTGAGAATCTTCCAAGAACTGCTGCAAAGCCCCATCTAAACGTTGAAATACATCAGCAGAAAGAGCAGGAAAACGTGAACACCAGAAAGAATCCAGAATCCAAACACATAGAGCCCATTCGCCAAGAGCTCCATTCCCTGCGGTCAAAGTCTCATCTTCTGCCGTCTGCAAAATGTTGAAAAACATCTGGTCAACGTCATTCACAGTGGGGAGCAGCTGAGTCAGAAGCGTAGTGTCAAATGCTGATTTCATCGAAGTCAGAAGTGTCAAGTCAAAATCACGTGGAAGGCCTTCTGCGTCCCAACATTGAAAAAAGGCTTGATCAGCATCAGCTCGAGAAAGCATCGTTACTTCTGACTGAGTGGGCACCGTAGCCACAGCCATGACTGGTTGGCGATGGTACCGATCTGAGGCCGGCAGCTCATCGATCAATGGTATCTGAGTTGTTGGTGCACGTCGCCAAGTCAATTGCTCATAGCATCCATTGCGCTTCTGTCGACTGTAGCGCAAATGTTGTTGCAGCCTTTGAGCCGTCCAAAAACATCGATGACAAGCATCACATGTAGTAGATCTCATCATTTGTCGTTCAGGCGAAATGACTTCATGTGCAATCCATTGATGAACTTGAAGCTGATTCAAGGTACCAAAGTGCTTAGCACATTGACGACACTCAAACGTGAAAGGATCAAGTTGTATCTGTCGCATGGCCTGTGTGGAGTGCGACGGTCTAGAAAAACACTGCCGTAACCGCCAATGTGCTTGCACAACCTTATGGAGCACACGACCTTGGTGAAGCGCACGATGATACAGCCGTCGAACAAGACGAGGGCCACTGTCAACATGGCATGCCAACCAAGCAAAGATCTCTTCCACCGTCGCATGTAGTGGATCCCACATGAAAAGAGTGCTATCCATCTGGGCCAACCAAACCAACGCATGTCGCAGGGCTGGAATCCATGATAAGGAATGCTCAGGCGTGGCCGTGACAACATCCACGATCAGTCGCGGGCAATCTTGGACAAAATGAAAAGCGTACAAAAGACGCATTTTGGCCAGACGCAACGTAATGGGTGGAAGTTGCCAATACATCAAGAGCTGTTGGTCCGACAGCATATCTGCAGACCAGAATCCGTTGGCACAAATGGTACGGATCCATTTCATGTAAAGGCCCTGGACCTTCTGCAAGGTTCTGTGTGATAACAGAGGCCAGTTGCCACTGCCGTGAAACAGAACCGGCAATACAAGTCCCTCAAAAAGCTTCAATCTCGTGGAAGTGGCAATGTGCCGGTTCATCAAAATAGGTTTGCGCACTTGGTGGTATGCATGGGTGGCACGAGCAAGTCGGTGTGATACCTCTGCATCGATTGCGCCCTCTGCCATGAAAATGGTGCCAAGGTGCTCATAACGTGGCACACATTTAAGGATACCATCGGGCAATGAGGCACATAGAACACCTTGTCGATTGCCAAAACAATCACGTCTCATGTTGGGGGCGTCAGGGCCACGAAATGCAACCACTGCCTCTGTCTTCTTGGGTTTCATATTCAAAATGAGCCCATATGAGCGGCAAACCTGATCCACGTTCTGCATCACTTCCTCCGTCACCGTGGCAACCTCATGAGCATGTGAAAAAATCAAAGGCAAAGCCAAATCATCAATCCAAGCTATGATGGGAGAAGGCATACCTAGATGCGCCTGTGCAGCACGAAGCTGAGGCTGATTGTCCAAGATCGCTTGCAAGTCGGTCATGACAGCAATCATAAGGGCGTTGTACGCCGCATCAGCCAAAGGCGATCCTGGTCTACTTCCACGGTGGGTATGATGCACCTCATCGGATGAAGCCAGCGTGTACCATGTGTGGGTGTGGGCATCCTTCAACAAGCGGACTAAAGCCGGTGTCACGGTCGCACCAATACGCTGCTGGGCACATTGTTCGGCCACAGTTTGAGGATCACATCCTGCTGAGCGCAAAACTTCAACTAAACGTGGTGGTAATGGAAGATCAAGATCAAATACCGTCTCACGTATTAAGGAGTGGAAGGCGCTACGAATATCCAGGAAAATGATGCAAGTGGACAAAGCCTTCTTGGATGCACACTGCTCAAGGGCACGCAAATAATGGGTGGCAAAAGTGGTTGTCTGTTTGGCGAAGCCGCCCAATTGCAGCGGTGCTCTGGCTTGAAGAAGTGTGGGCATCAATTGAGCTCGCAGAAGCGCGTGGGACATCTTCCCTAACACGTCTAACAAAGCTATCCCACGCATGTCTTCGATACGGTGGCTCTTTTGCTTTTTTCCAATTGTATGGATCAAACCGCCTTTCCATTGCCATGGCTCAGCACCAGTAGTCCACATTTTGAGAAAGAGTGATGTGATATCTGAAGCCAAAGCTGGGCCATGCTCTCGCAGAACAGCTGGTGGCACTGCATCGATGCCCGAGGCCTTGTTGACATTCAGTTTCGCACAGAGTTGTTCAACAGCCACTCGAGTGGGAAACTCAGAGAGAGAGAGATGGTCAAAGGAGCTTCATGAATGTTCTCACGTTGTGCTTGCCAGCATGTAGAGATCAAGTGCTCGAATGGCACTGGCTGTCCAGCTTCAAGCTGATTGTAGTGTTGGGCTTTGTCTTGCACCGTCGGGCCCGTACAGCAGAGATTCGATCGCTGCTTGGCCCTGCTTCTGGGTAAGACGAATTTAATCGCCTGCCATAACTGTCTTGATCCCTTTTGCGACTCCTGACCTGCTTGGACAGCTAATTGCTCGTAAAATTCTCGATCGTCTTGCCTGACTGCTGTCACAACACGCATTGCTAAGTCTTGAAGAGCCCAAAGGTGCTTGGCTTCTTGTTGATCACATTCTCGGAGCCATGGGGTGAGATCGTCATGAACAACCTGGTGATCCCTCCAGCTCAGAAAAATGCTTCTCATCAAGGCATCACGTCGATGTCGACGAAGTCTGGCAAGACAATGCCGGTGATGCCGCTTAGCTTGGATCAGCTTCACTGTCTCTTGCGTCAGGTGCTGCTTGCGCATCACAGTGGCTGGTCGGGGGCATTGACCAAGCCAATTTTGCAGTGCTGCTGCATGTGAATGGACGTCCGTGTGCCAAGTGGGACGTGCAATCTCAGTTTTGAGCAAATGTCGAAATTGGCGGGTCTTAGACAAACAAGCAAATGAAATAGGAACTTGAGCACGAACACAATCATGGTCTTCTCGCTGAATAGAAAGGTCGATGCGTTCTTCAACCCAGGTTTCAATTGCTTCCGAGCCAAGTTCTTGTGGACATGCAATGAAGTCCAATCGCGCTTTGGTGCCTGTCGCATGTGTCCAGGTGTCGGCTTTGCCAAAATGATGGTTTTGCATGGTCTGGGGCAAGAACAGTGATTGTTCCAAAAGCCATTGATGGAAATGTTGACCTTTGATATTCTCTTCGTCTGCCTGCCAGTCACCTACCGCATCCGACTGAACTGAGCCTAGCCTGCTGTTGGCGTCAGCTAACACAAAGAGATGCCACGAGCGATACTGTGCTGGAATGGCATTGGTGGTTGCATTCCAAAATGCTTGTAGGACTCTTTCGTCTTGATCAACTGGTGCATGAAGAACAACAAAAATAAGCCGCAAGCCACCACATGCAAACCTGACAATGAGGCGTTGAGCCGTAGCATGAAGGATGTGGAGATGAGAAGTTTCAACTTTGAGAGTGACATCTCCATGACAAACTTGGTGTTGAATCCACAATTGGACACCTCCAATGCCACGCTGAGTCGCTGGGGCGGACAGGACATGATAGTGTGGGAGCTTCACATGGCCCTCTTGTCGACTTCGTGTTTCTTGCAAACCAACAAAATGAATACCGAGTTCATGAAAGCAGCTGTCTAAACCTTCAGCTCTTGCACTCATGTATTGGGATGCATGATCTTGTCCTGGAAACAAAGTCAAGACGTTTGCAGTAGCAATCTGTAAGATCATGTTCTTGACGATGCGTGGACCATCTGGTTGTACATCTCGTCGTCGAGCAATGGGCTGTTGTGCAACGCTCGGGATCGAGTTCAGGGGCTGTGCAATATTGAAGTGCCAATGTGAGTCATACAACGGAGGAGCAGAATCGGCACCCTGCATGGATTTCTCAATCATCCAAAGCCACTGAATAGGCACCAAATCCTGATCATCAAATGTACATTGTTGCTGGTACAAGAACATGTCATTGACAGTGGCACCGTAACGTCTGGCGTGATGACAGAGCGTATCAGCCGCTTCGTTCCAAGGATGATCACTATGTCCTCGCAAATGTGTCCAAATGAAAGGCTCCAAAGTGGAAACTTCAAGCCAGTGCAGAAGCGCTCGAATGGGCAAAAGGAGGTCACTATTGTGTGAACTACCAAATTGACCCTGTGCAACTCCGGCTACAGTTTGACAATCAAATGCGAATTCAACTTTGGCTGCATGATAGGCAAAACCAATTTGGAGATGGCAACACCAGCGGATTGCAAGCAGCAAAGCTGTGGCTTCTGCTCGAGGCGCTGTGTGTGTGCCAATGCAAGTTGCGGTTAAATAGCCACCCAACCGAAGGCCAGAGTCAGTGTGCACAAGCAAGACCACTGCCGATGTAGCTTGGGTGGATCCTCTTTTGGCCGACCCATCTGTATAGAAAGAGAAGCCAAGAGGAAATTCATCAGTCCAACAGACCATGTCTTGCAAAGCTTGCCTGGTAGATTGGCGCCATGCAATGTGATCCCATGCATATGTTGGGGTGACTGGCTGCCAGTTTCGCAACTGTTGTCGTAGGAAAATGACTTTGTGGCAGTTCACTGTGACCCAGCTAGGTGTGACACAAGACTCAACTAAATCATCCAATCTTAGCTGCTTGCGTTGGCACTTTGTTTGCAAAAGATTGAAGGCTTCATCCTCATCATCTGTCGAGTGAGGTGCTGGCTGGTGCCAAGGAATTGCATGTTGAACAGAGAACAACAAGGTGGCTGCTTGCGGAAGCGGTTCATGCCACTCAGGTGTAATTTCATGCTCATGCCACCACATTCGACATTGAACATCTGGAGAAGATGTCGCACACCGGTGATCGAGATCAACCAGATCCAAAAGATCTTGGCGAAGATGAGTCTGAGAAAGGGTCAGGCACATCAATCTCGGGTGCCACGGGTCCTCTGCTGTGTCAGAGATGGAGACCAAAGTCGTGACTCTGTTTGGTTGCGCTTGTTGAACCAGGACCAAATGCACCATGACCTCAGGATCACCTCCATCAGGTTGAGGATCTGCTATGTAGCAAGCCAGAGCTTGGAATGGGTCAATGTGATCTTCCCGTGCCATGACAATGGCTGTATACCAAGTGCGAAAGTCAGCTTCTAATCGAACCACTCGTCCAATGCCACTGTGAGGACGCCTGACATGATCACTGAACCAAGTTTCAACAAAGATGGCATTTGACAGAGTCGTGCCAAAGTGCGGGAGTCTTTGTGTGACAGCTTGGAGGAGTTCTCCAATAAACTCCGGTTGTCCAGCAAGTTGCACTTGTAATGGATCACGCCTCAACACATGGTCACGAGCTTGTTGAACCTGTTCTGTTGGCGCATCATCAAGTTTGGCAACAAACTTGGCATAGGATCTGCCACAATGCGAGTTGCTGACTAAGGTGGCGGTCTCAGTGGCTAACATGTGAGTGGTGGTCGGCAAAAGTGCCCGAAACTGACCAATGTCATATTGGATCAAAGAAAGGTCATCATCTGCTGGCTCATTGCGTCGACTGGGCTGGTCATAAGCATCCACATCTGTCATGCCAGTTTCATGACTGAGTCGGGCACGAAGGTCGACTGCTTGTCGTCGTAGTCGATGGCTTCTTGGTCTCGAATGGCTGACACATGTTCGTGTGGATGTTGCTGCATCTGCAGAAGGCAGGGGCGGTATGGCTATGCGAAGATAGTCACCGTGCTCAAGGTAAAAGCTGTTTTGCCGCTGCAGAGGGACAACCTCATTATTGAGCCACATCGCGCATCTTTTCCGAACTCGATCACAGTAAATGTCTAACCCAAGCAGACGAAGAAGCGATCGTCGTTGAGTGACATGAGGAAGAGACAGGCAGCGCCGAGAAGTAGAATGATCCGTGGCTGGTGGGTGTTCATGAAATTCAATGTCAACCAATACCAGCCGATGAATCGAGCCAATAGCTAGATCCGACACCGATTGCATCAACAAAACTTCTGTATGGGCAGCTTGAAGATCTTGCGGTGGATGCTCAACATGATGGCAAAACGCAATGTCATCTTCATGAGCTCCAGTGATCTGTGACACACGATGTTGAAATTCAAAAGCATCATCCCATGGTAAATGTCCATGATGGACTCGATGACGAGTGCGGTAAATATGCACAAAACGCCAATCAACTCCTGGTGATGTTTCATCTTCATCAGAGCTGGACGCATCAGTGACGTCATCTGGAGGAAGCCCTTCAGGTTGAACAACTCGTGGCAACATGAAAACAGGTTGATCTGGAGGATAATTGGCTCGAGACCAAGCTGCAAAAGATGTGGCGTCTGGTTCATCACTTGGCACACGAATGTCAACGACGATGCTGATGCCATCAGGAATTTCTTCTAACTCATGATTGTCAAACCATTGAACTCCAGACCTTGCTACCCATCGACGTCCTTGTACAACATGATCTACACGTAGTAGGTCAACTGCTCTTGTGCCACTCATCATAGGTGGCGAAGAAATTGCTTCTTGTAAAAGATGCGTACGATGGTCTTCGATGAAGCAAGCTGTCATGATGGTGCCAATCCGATCAGGCTGGAGCCCTTGTGTCAAGATAACATGAGGAGCATATGGCTGACTGTCGTCTCTGGGAGGTGTTGGAATCACCCCTGTGATGTGCAAGACTTCTCCAGCTCGGATGTGATCAGCCCAAAGCTCTCTCAAATCTGTAAGCCATAAGTGATCCATGCGATCAAGCGTCAAAGATCTTGATGAAGCGCAACGAGGAGCATCATGATGATGTAAATACCAGCTAATCACTGGCATCGTGCGCCCTTCATCTGGGTCCTTGACTGTGGCAAACTCTCGCCATGCTACTCGAAGTTGCAAATGCCATGATTGGTCCATGTCATATAAGGCAGAGTCTGTGACCTCCTGAATGGCCTCAAATGTAGGATCAGTTGATGCAGCACCGGTCTGTGCATGACACGCATCCTGGTCATGAGGAGCCGAAATCAAGCCACAGGACACATTTTCCCTGGTGAAATCAGTTGGGATCGACACGGCCACTAATGACAGCGGTTCCACAACTGACTCAACAGGATCCACATGAAGTGTCCAGGGTTTCCCTCGCCATGCTTGAAGCTCATCATGAGTCATCTTTGTATGAGATAGAGGTTCAAAGTCGCTCCCAAAGAGCAATTCAATTTGATCTGTGAAAGTCACTCGCTTCGGAATGACAGGGGCAGCTTTGCTTGACGCTCGTGGATCAGTCAATGGGCAATTGGACCCTTCCAAAAGCCTGGAACAAGCAATGATGCCATAGACATCGATGCACTGATCAACGGCACGTTCAATGGCAGCCCAAGGAGCTGTGAAATTCGGCTCCTCCAAAATGCTATGCGTCCATTGAGCAGAACAAACTGCTATGGGAGAAACCAGGGGTTGGCAGGCCTCTTGACAGTCTACGTGCCCCCCCCTCCAAAAGGCTGCAAACTTCGTGCACCAAAGGATGGCTTGTCCCCAGGAGCATCTCCTCCTGATTCCGTTCTGGCCTTCTTGACAGCCGCTCCTGCAAGGGTCTCGGCTTGTCTGGCTTTGATCTTGTCGAAGTTCTGTATCATGGCACGCATATCGTCTTGGATGCTCGGAGTGACATCGGTCATGAGCTCTTCTTCCGTGATATCGTTCACTTCCACAGGGTTGATGTCGCAGGCACTGACAGCCTCCTTGGACTGTTCCATGGCTTCTTTGGCGCCTTGGTACTTGTCCAAGGCTTCCTGAATGGCCTGCACGTGGTCTGCATCGCGAGCTTCGAAGTCTTCCATATGCTTGTTCCACCTCTGAACAGCTTCTGAAATGAATTTGGCCCATGAATTGTGAAGACTCTGTCTGGCTCGACGTGCATGTAAAAGATGATCTCGGGCATTGCGCAACTTCGCCGCTGCACTCTGCAATTGGATCGTCGGATCGACGACAACTGCCTTCTGGGCATTGGCTAAAGCTCTTTGAACATCTGCCGAAAGAGGCTGCTCCATCTGCTTGACAGCAGAAGCCAGTTCCTTCAATGTCTGCTCGGCAGCACTGGGAGCACTGGCATTGGTGGGGGCAGGAGCTCCTTCTTGATTGTATTCCCATTCGGGTTCCTCTGGTGGCAAATCTCGAGCTGAGCTCTTCTTCTGCTTGTCCTTCCTGGCTTGGTTTGGTCGAGCAGGAGACTTCCTTGGCAATCGTCTGGGAGACTTGGCTGATCTCGTATGGCCAGCCCAAGGACTCTGGTAATAGCCCTCTCCAGTCTCTTGCCCCCAATCGCCAGAGTATGGCCATTCTTGGACATGTTGTCGGCGTCTTGGGGATTTTCCTGATCTCGCTGAGCGTGGAGTCTGCGATTGACACTCTGTCCAGTGAGCACCACAGAAACCGCAATTGGAATAACTTCCTTTGATATCCTTCTTGCACCAGCTGCAATGCCAAGGTTGTGATCGATTCGCCATGGCGTCCCTGATCCTGGCAATGAAGGTCACGTCCTTGGAATGATGCCGCTGCAAAATGTGCAATATCCTGTTCAACTGCAAGACAGACAGAGGCACCTGGTTGGTTCTGTGTAAGAACCAGGCACGCCGAGCAGCTGCCCGCTGACGTCGCAATCGACGCCGCAACGAAGGAAGAATGATGTATGCAAATCGCAAGCACGAAGATCAAGATCAGAAGATAGCTCATGCACGTGGTTGCCCAAGAAATAGTTCAGAAGGAAACCAAAGAGCAACTGTAAAAAGATGCCCTTGTACACAAGGCCAAGCGATGCAACGGTGATGCTGGTAGGCCACACCAGCAGAGCACTTTGCGGAGAGCAAGCACCAGGGCGTACCAGTTAAGTGCTGCTGCTCGTAGTTGCTATGGCTGGCCCGCGGGGTGACAAAACCCGCTAAGGTCGGGCGGGGGGAACTTAAGCCACAACCTTCATTGGTTGTATATCTCAAAAATAATGAAAAATGCTCAAAAATGCCCGTGAGATCATCAGTTCAAATCCATATTCAACTGGTAATGGCTACGACGGACCATGAAACTTCGCCTTGATCTCCTGCTCCGCCTCCATCACCTCCTACAGTAGGGGTAGTCTCACTGTATCCCATTGAATGAATAAGAGGAGCAGCCAACAAGCGAAGTTCTCGGTGGCACACTGACGTCAATCGGGGTTGGAATCACCAGGGCAATACATGGTACATCCCAAACCATGGGTATCCATGTGTCATGTGTTTCCGTGTCTCGTCGTTTCTGTGTGGCATTTGGGAAATTTTAAGGTGCGTTCCCATTTTCATTATCCACTTCCACGTCCCTCAAGACGTCCTGTTTGAGCACCTCCGGCATGACCTGTGACGGGCTCTGGCTGACCATGCACTTGGATGGTAAACCCGCCCTGAGCTGCGCCTTGGCCTGTGGCAAGGCCCGCAGGACATGAACGAAGCTCTGAACCTGGCGTGAGATCTGCGGGCCACTTCTGGGTTTCAACCCCTGGAAAATAACAACGGTCAGTTGGGCTGGAATCATCATACCAGGTTGCAAATCAAACAGTGTTTGGTGACAATTGTATACAATTGTAATCAATTGTATACATTTGTCAGATTTAGAACCACTGGTGTTTGTATGAAGGAACTTGCAACTTAGAACCACTGGTGTTTGTATGTTTTTGTCATATCATGCCATATCCATAGTCGAAAGTCATTCGCTCTTCAGGGAACCCCAATTTTGACACGTTGCATATCCTGGACTGGACATGTAAAATCGCCAGCCATGTCAAGAGCAACCAAAGGAGACCCCCTGAAGGTTTCAAATGTTTGACATGGAACCTCTGACAAATGCCTAGGACATTCAAAGGGTTATATATATATACGTATATATATCATTGAAAAAAATGGTTCCAGGGTCAAAACAATTTACCTCAGAGAGACATGTCGCAAACTATGGACGGGAGAAGTATTTGCTAAACCGTACGGTTTTAGGTTAGCACCTCACTCTTGGACAATAACAATAGTCTCATACATTTCATCAAATCCATATCAGCATCTAAATTTGTGGAGGGTTTCTGCGAGCTGTTGACAGGGGCATTTCACCTTTCATACTGTGGATGGAAATCCTACACCCGTTGGTAGATGGTTTATCCCCTTATAATCCCATTATAGTCCCACTGTTTCATAGCTACCAAAATGTTACCAACTGGTGCAGGAATTCTTCCATCCACAGTAGATCGTTCATGGACGTTCATTTGGAGGTTTCCTAAAATAGAGGTACCCTCTGGTTATTTAACATAGCCATGGAAGCCATGACCCATTTATAGATGATTTTCCCAGCTAGAAACCTCCATATTTATGCGGGATTTGCCAGCCAGCTATGTTAGTCATAACCAGATGGTAACCCCAATTTATCCAAGTCGTGGATGACCATGGGGATCCCACGGAACCTCGCGATCATGCTCTTCTGCTTGCTGGCGAAGAGCCTAGAAGAGGCACGCACCCGCGGGGAAACATAGAAAAGGCATAGATGGAATTACACAATGATAGATTCATTATGATTATCATATAAATTCTCATAAATATATAATATGTATATGTATCATTATAACTATATTCTGTATATATATAATATGTATATAACATATATAATCATATATATATATCTAAATATATTAGTTGTTATCTCGATCGATGTAGGTTTGAATGCTATAAGATCTTTTTTGTGAATGGTTTTGGACCTTTACAAAAGAATCATTGCCGCATGGCGGCACCATTTTGGGTGGCCTGGAAGCGCTAGGAATTGATATCCTGGGTTTCAGTGTCTGGATGTGTCTGGTACTTGAGCATACTTGAGCCAGGCCAGAATGACGTGATAGAAACTGTTTTCCAAACACATGCTACTGTAATTATATACATCTAATTCAGCAGATATCAGTAGATACAGTGACAGCATGGGCCTAAAGCTGAAATCTGATCAAGTCAGATCTCCCTGCCCAGCTCTCACTGCCGAAATCACCATCAAATAGTGGATGTTCTTTCTGGGTGCCCCAGGGAAGGTGACACCTAAGAAATGTCCACCAGAATACTTTCCTCTGGCCCATTTCTGTCACCAAGGACCTGAAGTCAGACAATTTTGCTACGATTCCCTTCATCAACTTCATCAACCAGCATATCCGGCGAGGTCGGCCACCAGGCCTCTCGCTCACGTTCAAGTCGATCTCGCTGCTTGACCAACTCCTTCCGCTGGAGATGAGCAGAACTACATACACATAGATTGATCCATAGTATAGGGGGACAAACAGCAGCTGTAGCACCTGTAGTAACCAGAGGAGCATGAGGGCCAAACCCACCAATGGCGGGGCAAGAATAAGCCAAGATATTCAATCATAGCGAAAACTGAAACAAACCATGGAGAGAATGTGCTTTAAGCCAACGAATTGGCTTTAAACCAATGAATGGGCGAGACTGGCCATATGCCAACAAATACAGCACTTGGTCAAGAATTCACACCACAAGCCACAAATAAGGGCGCCTCAAGCTCCTTCAACAAGCGTTTGTCCGCCTGGCAAAGGCAGGGCGTCAACGACGAAAAACATGGATAATTAATAAATATGTAACAGTACATGATAGTACATGATAGAACGGTAATTTTTGAGTTTCTCAACCAAACTAATCGACGTCTTCATTTTGCAAACCAAGGTGTTTAATTCTGTCGTGCATCTTTGCAGCCTGCCTAGGCCTGCCTTGGGGCAACTGGTTCCGGTCCATTTTCTCAAGTGTCCAGTTGTTTTTTTTAGTGAGCAGCGGCCAAAACCCTTGTGGAAATCCCGGTCAAATCGGGACAATTAATCCACTGTATGTGCAGTGGTACTTCTGACATCCAAAGCAAATCAAAGAACCTGCGTGGGCTCTAGCCTCATATTTGAATCTTACATCCCCATCTTTATTGCTGGACAATGGACATATGTGGAACTTCCCATCAATTCACAATCACTGCCGGCTTCTGGCCAGTGCTCACGTCGTCGCAGGTGAAACTGTTATGTGAACGCCCCCCCATCTCGGGGGTTCCACGAATATTCCCGGCCGTCGCCGAAAAATGCCACAGCCAAAGGACACTAGATGTCGATCCGGCAGCGGCCCGGCTAACCGCTGGGGGGCTTGGGTCTTGTGAGACAAATGTTGTTGGTTGCGTCGACTGTCTAGTGTCATGTCGTAACAGTTATTAATACAAACATCAAATTCTGATATTTAGCGTCTACATGTTCTTTCTTTAATGTTACTTTTCTTTAGGAACATTGAGAAAACGGAGGTTTCACAGATATTGACAGCTCTTGATTTCGAACCGAACACAAAAATCCCAAGCCCTTGGCACAATCGTTGGATTGCGCTAAGCCAAAAGCCAAGGTTGTCACTATGTTTCCTGTGCACTACCAGCTCAGCAACTGCTCACAAGCAGGTTACCCAACTGCATTGACCATATTGACGCTCTTGCTGGCGAAAATATGGTTTCTCTGTTTCTCTTGAAATCTTCGGATCATGGATCATCATGGATCATCATGGATCATCATGGAGTCTTTTCGCCCCAGCTTAACTTCAATTCAGTTCTATTTTTTGGGCACTTCTGCTGGCTCAGTTTCGATGTCGAACTGATTCCACGAAGCCCTTCATCTTGCCCTGGACGAAACTCACCAAACTCCCCGTGGATTGGGTGCCGTCGTCACAATCCGCCGCCACGGATTTACTGGCCACCAGCATCGCCTTGATTCACAGAAACAGGACATTTTTTCGTGACATCTACAGCTGGAAAAAAGGCGGGCTGAAAAGCCAGGTGTTGTGTTGAAGACCTACTGTACAGAATTGATGATTGTTAATGCCAATGCCAATGCCATGATCCTTCTAGTTTGGTGATTGTTTGACCCATCAAAATCTTGTTACATGCAGTATATATGTATATACGTATATATAATTATATATATAATATGTTATCACTGTACTATTACCTTCCTCCAATGGGATGAGTAGTCTTATGATAAATGGTTTGATAGAAGCGACAATATGTGGATGACATGGCTGTTTTATTGTTCAACTAGCGCGTAGCCAAATCTAAGGGCATGTTGAGGAAACACAACCAACAACTGAAGCTATTAGTTTATATTACAGTCTATATTTCAGCCAAATGAACATAAAGAATGTAGAACGTACAAAGTTGGGAATAGATTAAGGATCTTTGGCAATCCAAGTTTGGGTGTACCAAATTTTGACCAAACAAATGAACCAAACCAACAATCATACTGCTGCGCCTCCTGCTGCGCCTCCAAACTTCACATACAGTCTCACAACCATCCCTATCTTTTCCAAAATTATCAAAAATTGTTCATCATGCTTCATCGCAATCTATCCCAACCCAAGCCATCCCACATAATCCAGTGAAGTGTCGGTGCGTGAGTGCTCCATTCGCGCGGCATTCGCGGTTGCTTTCGGAGTCCCATCGGCCAAGAGCATGGCAGTGCGCTGGCGTCGCGTCTGCTTCTTCTCAGGGGATCCCTTGCCCGACTTGCCCGACTTCTGGCTGCGGGGGGAGCACTCCATCATAGCACTCCGGTAGCGGGGCACCTGCTGTTGGAACCATAGGGGAGCGGCAAAGAAGCAGCCAGAATGGTGGATTCCCCCAGACATCCCCAGACCAACAAGATTGGGGTTAAGGATCAAGGATCTAGAGACAATGATCTATAAATGCATATATAAAATCACATAAATGCCATGAAATACTGATTCAACATGGGGATCCAACCAACCAAAGTAGGTTTTTGGGACCATGTTTTACATGTTTTACTGAGGTCCATAGGTCCATTAAACCTCAACCGTTTTTCGACCCATGACCTGTCGCCCCGGGCTCCGCAGATCCTTGGGCATACTCTTGGGGCTGCACTTGCCATCGCTATAGCCTTCGTTGCCACGCACCGCGGCGTTCGGAAGGACGGGGCCCGGCATGGCGCGCTTGATGCTGTTCGAATCACGCCCCAGAGAGCAGGGTGAATCTGCGGCAGAGCCGAGCTTGACCCGAAACACTGAAACTGAGAAAGGCATGAAAAAGATTGAAAAAGGCAAGATTGGTGATGCGGCAAGATTTTCAGGTTAGTCACTTTCAGATCAGTTGTCTGTTTTCAGGGTGTTGCGGTCTCAATCGCTGATCCATGTTGAAACGGCATCGTTCAAAGCTGCATCAGTTCATGTTTGGTTTCTGAAAATCACACAATGATCTGGCACCCTGAACATCGAAATGTGGCTATGGATCAGTACCTAAACATGCAAATTTTCTGGGGGTATGCAATGAACATTCGTTTTTACCATCTATTTTGGTGTTTTGCAGGGGATTCCGATGGGGTTTGACCCACCAGAAACACCGCGTCGATCGCCTCGCTGTTGCCGAACTTGCCTTCGGCCTTGGCCTTTCGGGTTCTGGACAGCTTGGCTTCCAGCTTCCTTGGCTCGGCGATAGTGGTCATCTCATCATAAATGGAATTCCTAGTCAAATTCCGATTGTCAACTTAAGGTCCGTATATCAACGAGAACAAATGGGATGACCAGAGCCCATAAGAAAGGAACTCTTTTTTTATTGGAAACTAACCCGCCAAAAGAATCCGAGTCTTGTGTGTTCTCCCAGCCCCCTGAGGTCGCTTCTGAATGCAACTGCGTGACACCTCCGGTGGTGCGGGAAGATCACGAAAGCAAAGCAATTTGGGGGGGGAGTAAGTTGGATGTACTTGGGGTCATGAAGCAAAGATACATATACTATAATACATATACTAATATATACTATATAGGCTTATGTCTCTGAAAATGTGGTACCCTGAAATTCCAACATTTGATGGATTATCATAATCTTCCTTACGATTTCATGGCCATTGAATGGGTACAGTATGCCATTTGGGGGTAGACCATGACCCCATCGACGCACTCCCGGGCCGCTCCTCTAGTTGCGCTTCCCACTGATGTTTCTGCTTGAGGGCCAAATCTGCCTGGTCAGAATCAGTGAACGAAGCATGTTGAGGTCGAGAAAAAATGATAGCTATCAGCCTTAATTCATCAAATGCCAGAATCACATTCATAGATATGATATGTATATATATATATGTATATATATATATATAGATTATGATATGTGATGTTATTTTAACTATTTTCAACTACTTACTTTGAACATCTTGTTATAAGTATCTTGTTTCTCAGTAGTTATAGTAATGTATGTGATATGTGTCCTATCTTGAGCCCAATCTCCCTGCTAAAATCGCTTGGACGACCTCATTAATCACCCCCTCGACAAAACAACTGAAAACACCTGAAAGATGGGTTCTGATGGTTTTTCCCATTTGAAGCTGGGCACAGCCATGCCATATTCCGTGAACAGCTAAATGGCTGGAAACCCAAAAACGGTCACAAAAAACATGGTCTCCTCCAACCAGCAGCCCATCGGTGGCGTCCTGAATCCGCAGCTGCGCTACATCCGCTTCTTCCAGCTCAAGTTCCTGACTCAAGCGGTTCGGTAAGTCACATCTTGGTGGATGCTCAGCTCCTTTTGAAGCAATTTCAAGATATTTCAAGTATGGGCAGTATGAACGGTCACATTACTTTGAAAAACACGGTACCACAATTCATCACTAGGCAAGCTATGAGGCCCAACAACTGCTTGGGTGCTGGACTTGAAGACATGAACGTCAGGGAAACTTTGCATTGTTTGATGACTGGAACAACATATCTACATGGATAACTATGGAGAAATGGATAACAATGGATAACTATGGACAACTGCGATCACTTGGATGTATGATGTGAGAACCTGTGAGAACCATATTCAGTCATTTTCGGCGCGCGAGAGAAACCACTGCCACTGCCTCCTGCAACTCCTTTGCCTCTCGAAGTGCCTGCCATGACAGCTGTGGGGTATCCGTGCTGATGGTCCAGTCTGAAGAGGAAACCGCACCCTTCGGTGAGATCGAATCTCCTCCTGGTGATATCCTGCATTTTTCATAGCCAGTTTGAGATACCCTGCATTTGTTCAAGCTGGTCTGTACATGCATTCCCATATTAAACCTTCCCATCAAATTGCATCAAGTTACCAAGGTTTACAGTTTACCCAGTTTCGAGTGACCAAACAGTCCAACCTCCGCCAAAGGGTCCTTCCCCTGGTGGCTGGCTCGCCAGCAGGTCTGCTGAACACTTCAAGAACAATCTACGTGGAACAAACAATTCACACCAAAAGGTTCACTTTCAGAAGCTGTTAATGGATCCATATGGATCCATGGTCAACGCTAAAACCTCGGATTTGAATATCTTAAGTATATAATATATATATATATATCAGTTGACTATGCATATTTCTGATTCTCGCAAAGATCTGGCATCATCTGGCTCTTTGGTCCTACATCCCAATGACATCTTGCTGAAGAAGCTTCCGCATTTCATCAATTGACTCCACTGGGTCATTAGTTGGGAAGGAGGGAAAACATGTTGGCCGTTTCAACCCATCTCAAAGATATTTTATCACCTGGGACCAATCATCGCAAGTACGAGTAGGACTCAGTGATGTTTCGATTGACAGCAAAGTGACATGTTGTTGTTATTCTCACAACCACCACAGTCCTTAAGAAAACATCGTTGATGCTATAAACGTTTGTACTATAGTCATATAGTCCCTTTAAGATAAAAACATCAAAGAACCAATATAGCAGGCCCTGCCTGCAATCTTCCCATCAGGCTGGATCAGGCATGGCCGTATGAATGGGTGGTTGCTGAATGCTTGTTGTGATTGGTGGAAACAAATGACCAAGTACGGATGGATCAATGATCCTATCCGAGTTGAACATCTTTGCTGTCTAAGTCTACGAGAGTCTACGACTCTATGAGTCCAAATCGTCCAAGTTTCAATTGACATTCTGAGCCGTTCGATTAACCACATTTCTCAAGTGGTTTCTCATGTTTGCTCTGCAAATCCATGGTTCTCAGCTTGACGCACTGTCTCTTTGGTCCATGTACTGGTCTACAACAGCTGCATGAACGATCTGAATTTAAATTGAAATTCCATATGAAGCAGCACACGACTGCGCATAGAGACATTGCTTCTAATGGGGATGGATCAAGACCGCCAATTGGCCAATTTACACCAAGATATTGGATGGGTGTTGACCCAGTTCGCCAATTGGCCAACAGCTCGCCATGTCCGCATCGCGTCATTTTCCTTGGACGCCTCAAGATTTTTCGGCATCCAAGATCGGGCTGCACCTGGGGCCATGTTGGGGATCAGTGACACAATGTTTAGGGTGGGCACTACAGTAGTACGGCAAAATATTATTATATAATATATATTATAATTTACAACGTATATTATAATAGATTGTAGTATTATAATGTAATGTAATATAATATAGTCTTAATATAGTATAATATAATGTATATAATATAATGTAATAATATAACAAACTAAAAGACAATATCAAATACTATACTATACTATACTATACAATACTATACAATACTATACAATACTATACAATACTATACTATACTGCAATATAATGTATAATATATAATAAAAAATATGATATATAATATATAGTATGTAATATATAATATATAATATATAATATATAATATATAATATATAATATAAATTATAGATAATATAAATTATATATATACATAGATATATGATGTTAAATAATATCAATATAATATAATATAATAAAATTATATAATATTATAATAATATAATAATGTAATAATATAATAACATAATACAATATAATATACCATATAACAAAAAATAATAATATAATATTAAAAAACTATAATATATATAATATAGTATAATATAATATAATGTAATATAATAAATATAATATCATATAATATTATAGTATATAAAGAATATAATATAACATAGTATAATATAATATAATATAGTATAATATAGTATAATATAGTATAATATAGTATAATATAGTATAATATAGCATAATATAGTATAATATAGTATAATATAGTATAATATAGTATAATATAGTATAATAATTATAGTATAATATAATACAATGAAAAAATGTATCTGTATGCGTATTTAAATATGATATATAATACATTATGTTGTAGATTATATATATAATTATATATAACATTGTGTATTAATACTACGTATATATATATATTATTATATGTATATAGTGTATATTATATATATTACAATATTATTATATAATATATACGATATATATATATACATACAATTTATATAATATTCCATACTTATTCATCTAAAGTTAGTTGGGTTCACCATGCGTGACAATGCGTGACCCATATAATCTTTTTAACATCTTAGATATTAACATCATGTAACCCGACCTGGGTCGCGTTTGATCCAGCAGGGATCGCAGATCCGTGCGGCAGGTGGGGCACAGAGAAGCCTCGTCGGCAATGAAGACACATTGAGGGTCTGAATTAGACCCTGGCAATGGGAAATGGCCTATAGATGGAGGTTTGAGTGAGAAAATCAATGAAACACATGTGAAAATCTTCCATAAACGAGAATATTTTGAATATACCCTTCGATAATCAAACATGAATGGAAGTTTTCATGAAAAAATATCGAAGTAAATGGAGGTGTTTAATGGTTCAACTTCTTAAGTCTTGCATGAAAAAGGGATATAGATGGATATAGCATGATATAGTGGGGATTTACCAAAGATAGATGGACAATTCTACCACCTAATTTATAAGGGATTTGGGGCTATCATGGGGATAATCAAACATCAAGAATGGCTAGAAGTAGCTGGGAAATCCCATCCATAAATGGAGGAGAAAGCCATAAATGTCTGAAGCCTCTGAACAGCACTTAGGGCCTCTCATCTACCTGGATGCTCACCACACATATATATATAGATACAGGCAATTCCCTGTAGTATGTACATAATGAAGGTATTCATATGTATACTATATATATATATATTTAAATGAACACAATGTGTGCATATTAGGGCTGGAGATGGAAGAATAGTAGAAACACTGTGAACCCAACAAATCCCCATAAAATCCCCGATAGTTTCTCATCATTTTCCCATCATTTTCCCTATTGAAGAGCCATGACAGCCATGGGGGCCTTCTTCAGCCAGGGCAGAACGCAGCTCAGGTGAAACACGTGCTGAGGGGCACACGGCAGCCTGCACCACGAGGCCGTTTCTGAAACAAGTGGGGGGAGATTCTTGGGGGAGATCCATCAGAAATATATATATATATGTGATATAACATATTATATATATAATTATATATATATACAGTATTATACATTGTGTGCTTCTGTAGATGTATGTATATATAATTATATATTATATAAGCAATACATATCATTATTCGTAATATTCTTGATCAAAATTATATAGAAGAAATGTATAATGTTGTGCATGCACAGTACAGTAGAATAATGATAATAATGTAACATGGCTCATTGATGGGAACACATGAAAAGGACGCAACCATGCATCTGTCCATACAACATCATTCAAACATCCATCAAGCCGGACCCACCAACCTATTGATTGGCTGGACTTATCCTCTGGTAATTTAGAATGGAAATGGCATGAAATGCCATATCTCACAACTGGAAATGGCGGTGTCTGGACAAACAAAATCGGGGTTATCCCCGTATCAGACTTGACCAACTTTCAACAACTTGGATGATACCCTCCGGTACTTTCACATAGCCATTGACAATTGCCTATATTTATATGATTTATTGAAAAATATGATCTTCATCATGGCACACTGTTAAATTGCAAGAGGGTAAATACGGTCAATTGGCCAACCAGTCCCTCCAGACCTGACGCACGTTCCAGAGCCGGGAGCCTGAGAGTCCGGGTGGTTGCGTCGCGACGAATAGGGCGTGGTTGACCGAGATGTTACGGAGATTTTTTGAGGATTGATGACATTTTCTGGGAATATATATATATATATAGTGGATTATGATGGGATATACCAAACTATCTGGCAACCATCTGATATGTGGGTGTGTCCAAGCATGAGAACTTTCTTGGGGAAAAGGATGATAAACAATCAAATTTCGAGGGCATCCTTTTAGAGAGAAACAACGACATTTGGTTTTTACATGTTTTTACGCCATGAAATGATGTTTGAGGATTTTTACAGATTTTATGGGTACATGACGGTAGTGATTATGAATTACAGTATAATGTTGAACCATATCCATATGAGCTCCCGTCAAAATCCTTTACATCTGAGTAGTTGCTATTGTTATGGTTATCACTTTTGGGGGGGCCCTATCGCTTTCCAGGGTTTTGTGGAAATCAGCATATTCGAGATCCAACATGGAGCCAAAATCCATTCCTAAGCAGGCTCGGAAATGGATCGAGCAGTTGTTTTGTTGGTTTCAGGTGCTTCGGCAACACTTCATGTTCCTTTCGTGTTGCATTAATTTGCATGCATTTTCCTTCATTTTCCTTTCATTTGCATGCATCTTCCTTTCGTTGTGCATTCATTTCCTTTCGTTTTCCTTTCGTTTTCCTTCATGTTCCTTTCATTGGTATTCATGTCCATTCATTTTCCTTTCATATTCCTTTCGTTTTCATCCCAATGTGCATTCATGTCCTCTCATCTTCCTTTCATTTGCACGCATTTTCCTTTCATTTTGCATTCATGTCCTTTCATTTCCTTTCTAACTTGGCCAGGGAACCAAGTGCAACAAATGGTTATCGGTAAGTTATGGCTAAATAACCCCTCCAACATATGACATTGTTCGAAGGAAATTTGCTACAAAACGACAGAGAGAGAGAGAGAGAGATAGAGAGAGAGAGAGAGATTGCAATATCCTGCAATACTAAAGTAGTCTTCAACCATTTTGAGCGTGGCTCATATGATTTGCAATTTTCTTCCAACCAAAGCCACACAAAAAGGACATAAATGGACGATATAGACGAAAAGCACCAGATGCCGTCCTTGACCAAGCACATGCCACAACTACAATCAGTTTCTGGTGGATCCACCATCAAGTTGTGTCTAAACGGTTTCGCATGGTTTACCCCATGTTTACCCCATGTTTAGCCTTCTTGGGCTCCGGACACAAAAGCAGATAGCGCACTCCAGGGGCCCGGAGTCACCTGTGGCTCTGGTCGTGATCAGCTGAGACGGCCAACTAAAGGTGAGATCCTTAGCTCATGATCTTGTGCACGATCCAAACTTAGGAATTGTTTGATAGACTATTCATGAAAGTCTCATCCTCCATGTCAGGACGTATGACAAAACATGCTGAATTCAATAAAATGCTCAATGTTGAGAAACGAGACAACATATACAACATCCATGTCAACTTTATCGTAATTAAAATGTGCGTTGCATTTTATTCTGGCTCTCTCTCTCTCTCTATGTATATTCATATGTGCATGGCTATGGCTATATCTGTATAAATATATTATATATACACACACATCTTAGCCTCATGATGTTGATATATAACCCAATTTCAAGGCTATTGCATCAGGCTGGAAACGTCACGAAAAAACGTCCAAACCACGTCCCGCCTCCGGGCTCAGCATCTTCCACCCACCTGCAAGGGAAAGATAAAGGTAGAGATCAACATGATGTGCTTTTCATGAGAATATTAGTAATATATGATTTATAAATATCTATAAATTAGTAATGTAATTTAATCATAAGACAAATTCACAAAAAATAACAATAAACATATTAAAAATCACCTTTATCATCATCATCATCATCATCATCATTATCATCACCATCATCACCACCATCACCATCACCATCATCATCGCCATGATATCAATAATAAGGAGCATGATGCTGAATATTTGCTGATTATGTATCAGTCAGGATGACACGTATATCATATAGTTTTGATATGTTATGATGTACAGTATGTATATAGTAGTACTGTATATTCTGACTCTGACATGATGTGGTGACTTTGGATGCTGATACCCATGAATTCAAGCGGATCAACCCCAACCAAATCGCAGAAAAAACAAAAAAAAAAACATCATGAAAAAAAGGAAACAAAAGACATCGATCCTGGATCCCTAAGCAACTAATTGGACTTATTGCAAGCCTCTATCCCACCCAAAATCGGTGTCCGGTGCCCCTACCTATGCTTCGTTTGAAGTATTCTGAGCTGTTCATGGGAAAGCCCAGGGACCGCCTGGACTGCTGATGACTGCTGAACATTGGCTTTGGGGATCACAGAATCACCAAGGCTTCAGGATATCAGCTACCTAACCCCAAGCAACAGGTAAGGGAACTATGTATCATGGCCATCGGAGATGGGAAACTATAGAAAAATCATGTTGAAACAAATCCAGCCTACCCGGCCTACCCTGATTCACTCCCGGCACGGTTTGCCAAGTGCTGGCCTTTTTCTTGCCATTCTCGGTCACCTCAGCTTCTGATGGCCATGACTTGCCTTCATCAATTCTGGAAGCTAAGGGGATCGATCCCACCTCTTTGGTTCATGAGGAGCCACAATCAGATCCATCTTTAGTCATTACACAGACTTTTAGTGTCTGGATAAAGTCATAATTAAACATTACAAATTTCTGTCATAATTCAGCTGCAAAGTGCGGCCACTGATGCCCAAAGAAAAACTCCAATTCTTCTCATTGTGGTGAATCCCTGTCCACAGCAGGTGGAACCCCAGTTTCCCGCAGGCTGGACCCCAGGCCGTCACGGTGGTGAAGAGATCTCCCCGCAAGGAGCCCCAGGCACGCTGGTCCTGAGAACTTGGGTGGCTTTTTTGGGGTCCCAAATTGGTCCCTTTGAGTGATGAAATCCATGGGGACATCCCCATGAAAAATGGGGGAATCCACCTATTGACCTATCTAGGAAGGGGATTATGGGGATCATTTCCTTTGGGGATGAACCAAAGATTTTGGGGATTGGGATGGCCCATGGATTTTGAGGATTTGGATGGAACAAATGGGGATTTTTATGGAACATCATGGGGATCAAACATGGCTAGACTCCTGGGACATCTTATCTCCAAGTTCTCCAAAATAACTATATGGTGAATTTTCCAGCAAACCATGGTTGATTGCACCGAAGGGTAACATGGGTAACTGGATTTACACACCAAGAAACCATGGGATTGTTGTTCAATCCTCGGATTTTTTTTCTGGATTTTCATCGTCTTCAACCCTAAAAAAACATTGGGAATAGCTACGTGTACTGGTTTGTGGTTGAAAAACCCATGGAAGTAGTGTGCTCTAATGGGGATACAATGGGGATACACACCAACCAATAACCAATCATACTTCTCTGGATAGTTGGTGGTTGGTGAAATGATTCCTAAATGGGGATGCATTTGGCTGGTGGTTTCAATCCCAGCAGCAAAACATTGGTCATTATCCCAGGATATTCCCTGTAAATGGGGAACTAGAACCATATCTCTGACTCTAATCGAAACCAATCGAAACCAATCGAAACCATGAACCAGTTAATTAATGTTAATTAAATCATAGATACTTCATAGCCGCTATAGCCCTTGAGATTCGTTTCTTTTATTGCCAACCATTTTTTTAGCAGCATCAGGGCACCCTTATTAGTTCATCAAGTCATGGATAAATCGGATGATCTTGGATTCTTAGTGATATATATATATATGGCACTCCTCAATATAATTCAACATATGGCAGTGTGTCAAAACCTTGTACCCCTGGTGAACCCCAAAATAGCTGGTAAATGGATGTTCATCCCACTAAAAATATTCTAAAAATGGTATTGATAGGTATTGATCCATACCCATATATAGTCAAGACTATAGATCAGAATTAATGCAGGAGGCAACCAAAGAAAAATGTTTACCCAGTGAAGCATATGGGCATTGATCAAAATTGGGTACAGTACCCCTGCTTCACTGCTTAATCTTGGATGGTTTATCGACGGTTTATCCTCAAATTTCATCAAATCATATCAATTCTGCTGTCCCACAGAAGTCACCTCTGAGAGAAGCCATTGCCGGGCAGCTTCCACGGGTCTGACATGCCTTAGGCTTTTTGGTCGGGGATTAAGCGGCCAACGGTGGGAGATGTCACGGGGCAACAGATATATACTGTGTATATATATATATATCAATATGTATATATATATATATTAATATATACGTAGATATAGTTGGTGCTTGGATAAGACTAATTTAAGGCAAAGCAAGGTAAACATAACTAGAAAATTAGAAAGGCCAACCAAACATCGGGTTTCAGGATCTTGGGAAAGAGTGCCAGTAGTGTGGCAAAGCCAGTATCATCCAGTAATCTAACTGGGGCTTTGTTATTGGGATTTATTGGGATTTATTGGGTATATCAATATCCCTATAACTGGGATGTAAAATGACCCCCAGTCATGGCTGGTGAAAGGGTGGCTCAGCCTTGGCTGTTTGAGGCACCAAACTCCCTGGGAGCACGCCAGCCGTCAGCATAACCTTCCACGATATCATGCCTGTCCCGTCGGCCAGGGGGGCTCTCCTCTGGCTGATGGTCTCTGATGGTGCCTAGGATTAGTTCTGAATACCTTTTGAGGCGCATGTCTTTAAAGGAATTGTCGCGACCTGCATTACATCTTCACACTTGAACCAATCATAATCTGTGGGAAGAACTAAGAACTGTGCCTACAAAATACTAAAAAACACATCTTGGCTGCATAGATGGCATAGATCTTCATTTTCATCAGGTTTTTGGCGCCCAGGGCAAGCCCATCCCCTTGTGTGCACCTTCCTTCCTCGCATCCATCAGCACCTTGAAACGTCAGTGTACAGATTTTGAAAAAGCTGACTGGCACCAGATTTTGGATGTCACAACACTGGCTAGTTCCTACACCAGGAGAATCTTTGCTCCAGTTCCAATCTTTGGAGAATCTTCGGCCGTTTCTCCAGTGCCAAGATCCCAACGCAGCATGTAGGACGCCGCGCAGGCCTTACACAGTAACCCATGGGTGGTTCATGCACCAATCAATGGGAACAACCCGCCACACTCATGGGAACTTCACCCATCAATTTACATAGCACAATCCTCCTGAAGTATATAGAAAGTATGGGATTTTCAGCCATATTTTCATGCGTGTAAGCTTGTCTTTGAAATTTCCATATTCTATCTACTCCAGGATTAACATAGTGGTAAATGAATCCCTCACGCTTTGGCTGGTTGGTGGGATTTTCCAAGCATTCGGCTTGACATGAGAACTAATCTTCCAGTCAAAACAGTTCCCCCAAAACCTCAAGAAACTATCCTGGAACGTGTTTTTTTTTTGAATTTTTCACAAGGCAGCCCTAATAATTTTTGCACCGCACAATCCTCTGTGGAGTGACATCCCAGAACACCTTTGGCATCCCTGGGGTCCCTGGCCGGATGGAAGCGGCGATAGATGGCAGCACCTGACCAATGTTCATTGGGGAAATTGTCCGATTAGTTTACAGTGCTATCCAGATCGTGCACAAACTATGTTCCTTTATTTTCTACAGCATGTTGACAATGTTCAAAACCAGTTCAAAACTACCGTGTCCAATCTGACGCAGAGGTTATCCAACGGGTTAAGTCTATCCTGGCATTGGCGTCCCAGCACTGTTGCATTGTTGCTAAATGATGGTAGAACTTCTGACATCCAGGATTGGATGCCAAAACTCGTGATTTCGTCATACGTAGGTTTGTCCGAAAATAAAGGATGGCCCAAACTTGCAACTTGAATTCGAGACAAATAAACCTTTCTCGGTTTGTTCAATTGAAATTGTGTGAGTGATACCCCCAAACATACCGTACCCCAAACATGTTGAAAGGTTCAATTTATAGGACAACGATCCTGCTCGGGCCTGTCCACACTGTCACCTCTTCGTTGAGGTCTCTCAGCAATTGCCTGATTTCGTGGCATCCCTGGCTGATTTTGAAAGTGAAAGCACCCCAAAACTGGGGCTCTCTAAGCCTCCATTTTGAAGGGAAAAAACACATAGTTTGGCGGTTTGAGGATCTCCCGAATTGAAATTCTTTGGGATGTACATTTTCGGTGAACTGTGAACGTGTTTTCAACAACCAAATCATAGCCTATAAAAACGGAGAGCTTTGCGATTTTCTGGCGTGCATGGTTGCAAATGCATGCAAATGCAACCTCCCCTGGTTCCACATGTCCGCGTCCTTGTCGGGTAACTTTTCTGCACTTTAGGGGATCAAGATCGATCAAGTTGGGAGGGCAGAGGTCAGCCACCGGCCTGCAGCCATAGCAAAAGTGGCCCAAGTCATTTCGTTGTGCTTGCCTCAGCCATGCAAAGCCATGACGGGAAAATCCACGTAGCTCTGGGCCCAAAACTGAGAATACCTGTCATTTTCATGGTGCCTGAGTGGGGCATTATATATATATATATATACTGTATATATATATACACATATATATATACACATATACTGTAAATATATATAATCCAAGAAATTCAACAGCAATCCATCTGGATGCCACTTCCAACTTCCAAGTGAGGTCTAGTTGGAAGGTCCCACATCTTTCCTCGACCCACAGCCACATGCAGCGAAAACAACTCGTGCTTGGTCCAGTGGCCGTTGCTTCACCGCCCACCCAGAGGCACGCTTGTTGGCGACTACCTGGTTGAACCAGGACTTGATTTCTGGCTTGTCCCACGATCTGGCAATGCAACAGTTTGCTAATTTTGCTATGGAAAATCACCAGTGTTATCATGTCAAAAGGTAAGTCATCTAAAATTCTATAAACGGGTTATTCTCCATAGCTATCTCAAATTACCGGAGGGTACTGCTGTTTGTGGGACAAGTTTGTCAAAATCGAGTGACAATCCCAAGAATACGGGTTGATATGTTGGGGATCCACCAGTTCCAAAACTGCACTGCCAAAACTTGGGGCTATCATTCCACTTTCGGGATAGAACATACGTACAACATGTCAACACACTTCAAATATGCTGAAATGACCAAGTAGTCAGTTCCCAACTATATAAACATATATAATTATATATAATTATATATATTATAAACATATATAACAATTATAAACTACCACAAGATGTGGTAGCACCCCCCAGTTCGTGGAAACATCAGTTGTTGGCTGTGCCTCCTCTAAGGCGATGCCATCGCCCACCAGCTCGCGACGAATGGCCTGGGGATTCCATGTTTCTGCGAAATGCTTCTGGATCTTCCATGTCCAACGAATGTTTACGGGGGGGATACATATATATATATATATATGTGTGTCTATATATATACAATTATATATGTAATATATATATATGATCATATATGATGTATATTTGAATTCAATGCATGATTATATACATATATGATCATATATGAATCCCCCTGTGCTTTCTGGGGGTGAAGATGTGCCAGACAATCTGTAGCTATAAGCCCTCAAGCATACCCTGTGGCTACAGAATGCATTTTTTTCACTATAGAATGGTCCCAGCACAACCCTAAAAATTGTAAATGTTCTCACTATAGAATGGTGTCGTTTTTCCAAGCACGACTGCACATAGGATTACATAAGACCGCTTTAAAACGAGGTGCACGACTATGTTAAAATAGCCAACATAATTTCAACATCCGGGCACAGGTGGAACACAAGTACTCCCATAGGACAACAGGACAGGCAGTACAAAATGCAGTAGCACAACAACCAGCTTTTTTCTGTAATACTTCCACTATAAAATGTAGAGCCTATAGAATTGTTAGCACAACCCTCATATAGGTGGGTAGGCACCCTATAGAATTGTTGGCATAACTCTTATATAGGTGGCGTATGCTCACTATAGAATTGTTTCACAGGGATCCCCTATGAAAAGCCGAGCACGAGAACACTTTTCTATATTAAAACACCCCTATGCCAACCGTTTTAAGGCAAGCACAAGTTCACCCTTTCTATAGTGGAAATTCAAACAGGATATATATGATGTATATTTGAATTCAATGCATGATTCAGGAACTGACTCAGGATCTCGCTGGATGTTTCACTTGAACCCCAAACTTCTTGGAAGATGTCCGAAAAAAAAGTATATCCCCTTTCGAACCTTCGATCTTTTCTCATCATCTTCATATTATGTTGTTCCCGGAAAAACAACATCTCTTCCCCAGGATTCACCATATGTTTCCCCCCCCAAAAAAAAGGTGGAAATCTCCTGCCATCATCCCCTCCTGGCCTGGTCGATGGGCGAGGGCAGCAGCCGCTTTCGACTATTCGTGGAGCTTCTGGAGGCTCGACTGGAGGAGACCTGAAATTGAAAGCCTGGTTCCAGCCAGAACAGCATAGGCATCATAGGTTTTATCTGTTTTATCTATCTTATTTTTATTTACCTGTTATGCATATTATTCTATATATATAATATATATATATGTATATTTTACCGAGTTTACCGTTTCTACTGGGTGTTTCCCACATTCTGACCACTGGAAATCATTGCTTTTAAATTTAGAGAACATGTGCAAGAAAATTGAAAGTAACTCAATGTTGATGGGTAACATTTGCAAAATGAACAATTTTCATGCTAATGTCTCCTCTATAGTAACCCACCCAAAAAACATAAAATTCAAGCCATGTAATGGCAAACTCAATTTGTTCATAATTTTGGGGGTTACTGTACTGGAAACCAGGGTTCTTACCATATCTTACCATCCATTTCTATTGCACATTGTAAGTCTTCGGTGGTTTGCGAGCCTTCAAAAACGGATGAGCGTTAAAGTATCTGAATGTGGGTTTTAATTGTGTTTACCCCTCTAAACAAAAGCCATTCTCTGGTTCGCCATGAAGATATACCGGGTAATCATGTTGCATCGTTTTGCATACCATAATGGGATACACACAAACCAGAAATGGCGATAAGAACACGTATTCTCCGGTGGTTGGTGGTTGGAGGTTGGTAAAATGGGGATGCAACCAGCCCAAATGAGGATGCGTTTACCATGCAGAATTTGGTGGTTGAGCCATACCCTGACAAAAAGATGTTTCTAGGGGTCAATCATTCCATCTGCGGCATAGATCATGTTGAGTATTTGAAACTACCGACTTTTTTTCTATTATCTATTGCAGTACTGGATATCCTGGTTTTTGTATGTTTTTCTCCACAATATTAAGTTTTAAACATTCACCTAAGGGTTTCAAACAAAGGAAGAATGGACAGTTCAAGAGATTGTCTGCCCACAACAATTTCCCTTATAAACAAATTCGGGGAAGGATTGACGCATTTTTCAAATATCGTTTGTTCTCCTGTCTCAACCGCTTCTGGAAGATAAGGCATTTCCAAGTAAGAACAAATGACAGCAATGGCATGGTACCCTACTATGGTGTACCATTTCATGAATAAATACACATGTTTTTTCATAAAATACGAATTTGTGCCAAGACAAAAACACATTTTTTCCCAATTAAGCAGGTTTGCTCCCGCACTCCACATACAAGCCTGGTCAAATGGGTAGATAAAGAGGTAAAATCGGGTACCAGCTACGATGGTGACCATTCACCTATAACGGCTTTGAACCAACCATTTCCATTTCCAGGCTTCAAAGGCTCTCAGCCTTGCTGCGTTTGAACCAACCTAACTAAAAAAAAACATTTGAAAAACATAGTCTCAGTCATTTTCCCATATTTTCATATATATTTTCTGTAATTCCCCAATTAATGAAACCCCCAGTTTAACACGGCTGCCACAAGGGGGCCCCCACCTGCGACTCGGCGCGCCGTGGTGGAACCATGGGCGCCAGCAGGGCTGCAGCATAGGCCTGCGAGGGGAAATTGGATGACCTGATAACTTGAAGTTGATGAAAATCATCAAAAATTAGTGATCAAATTTGGAATACATATATATATAATTTATATATATATTGTAATTTGTCTTAATTTGTCATAGTATATTAGATTATATCCCATTGCAACATCAGCCCATATCAGCCCAGTCCAACAGGCTTACTTCTATTCCATGCAGTGATGGTCGCCAAATCGAAGAAACTCTCGATGTTTGTATCGTTCAAGGTCGTTCAAGTTTAAAGACACCCGCAAACTTCTGGGAACCCGAGCGCATCATATCACTAGATCTACTAGATGCAACTCGAAAGGATTTGGATTTTACAACTGTGAAATACTGTCAACGGCCCAGGGGCCATCAGGGGCCCACAATGTCAACGGCCCAAAGGATCCATCCATTTTTCTGGCGCCGGGCCGAAAAATCATCAGCCGGCCTCAGGTCTGCAGTATCTGTGAGGAAACACTTCCAGGTCGTGTGGATCACGATGCGATGAATTTTTTGGATGGATGATACAGATATATACAGATACTAGATGCATGCCATATGCCAACTTGCCAGTGAAACAGTTGATCTAACTCCAGGGCAGAAACATCACAACCACTCCCCGCTTCCATCTCTGAGCTCGCGGCAGACGATGGCCACCCACCAGTGATTGACACTGAGTGGCGCGAATCGTTCGGCACTGCGAATCTGTACTCGCCGTGAAGAGGTGAAGATGGAGCAAAGTGGGATGTGAGTCTGCAGAACTTGACCAAAAACCAAAACAAACCATTCATATTTATAGGATTTTATAGGAGCCAGGAAGAAAGAGAAATACCCTCCTATAAAATAGTGGTATTACTTTTCTCGTTGGGGGTACGAAAAACACCAGCACAAGTCTCTAGAGGCTGTTTTGTTTGAGCCGGGCCCAGATGGCCAGGGTGCTGCTGTTGTGTCTGATCTGACGCTCTGCTGCACTCACTTCTTCTTGGGCGTTGTCGCCTGTACAAGATCAATGTGAGATCAGTGGGAGATCAGCTGTTGTGCATTTAAGGATGCATTCGGGTGTCTGTTGCAAAGAGAAATTGAGGGTGTGTCCCAGAGTCCCAGCTACCAAGGATTGCTTTCCCCGTCAATTGTCAATCTCCATCTATCTTCGTGGATTTGTTGTTTTTCCCGACGTGTTTTCTCATTCTTGGACATACCCAGTATGATTAAATACTATATGACTATATGGCAGTGTGTCAAAACCTTGTACCCCGGGTGAACATCAAAATAGCTGGTAAATGGATGTTCATCCCACTAAAAATGGTATTAATAGGTATTGATCCATACCCATATGATTATATGATTATATACTATGCATGTTTTCCATGCACAACGTCACAACGTGATGTCCACTACATATATCAAGTCCTCGGCGTTTAAGGTGACTCGACCAGGTCAGCAGAACGTCAGCAGAACGTCTTGCCGCAATCTCTTGAGAGATAGTTTTATTTCATGTTTTATATCATTCTGTATCTAGATGTGCATCAACATGGGGTACCCTCTGGTAATTTAACATAACTATTGAACATCACCATTTATAGTGAGTAGTTTTCCCATTAAAAATGGTGATTTTCCATAGCTATGTTAAATTACCAGAGGGTACCTTAAAGAATTGGTGCTGTACCACTAGAAACGGCCGTTCGTATCGGCCAGTCCACCTGTTGGACATCCCTGGACCACTGGAACCAAATTGTCGCACAACGTGCACCTCATTGCCCACGCCCAGGTCCATGAGCAAACCTTCTGTGTTCAACACCATTCTGTTGGCAGACCTCAGTTTCTCAAAAAAATCTGGTGAATTTTCAATGTTCAATCCAACATTTTCTAAAACATATCCACTTTCGCGGCACCTCATTCATTCAGATCTTCGGTCAAACTGAACCAAAAACAGCAACTATGGGATGAGGATTGTTCCCCAGGGCCGGTTGCATTTTCAAGCCACCCTTGTGTTCAATAGGGCTAAACCGCCTCCTATCCGGACATATTTTCTGTGCAAAATAAAGCACTTCATACATTCGATACCTTTCAAAACACCTACCACCATCTGAAACAAATCGGACAACCTCAAGGCAAAAAACAAACGCCGTGGAAAAAACAACACATATCAAAAATCAACAAACATGTGGTTTACATATGTTTACATAGGTTTCTTTACATATTTTTGGAAAAACATGGTTTTCTAGTCGTTAATGTAGTCCTTCCGTCTGAAATGGGCTCTCGCACTTGGCCAACAAACTGGAGATGTCCTTGGCCACTGCGATCTTTCGCAACTCCACAAAGCCGGGGTTGGCCTATCCAATGGCAGGGTGGATGATAAGAACGCTGATGATGTATTCACAATGTGTAAATTCAATATTATATGTAGATGGTCTGTTTTTTGGGGGGAATGACCTAACTTGGGCATCATCCGAAAATTGAATCGTTAGTCATAATGATTATACATGCATATTAAGAGAGAGAGAGAGAGAACGAGAGAGATACATAAATATATATATATATTTGTATATCAGTCAACTAAGTTTCTTCCTTTTAAAGTATGAGGATGATGATGGGATGATGAGGATGAGGATTTGGATGAGGATGACAAGCGTCTGAAGCTGAGGCCGGTGAATATGATTGGAACTAAGGATGGATAGCAACCATCTTTGTTGTTGAGAAATAGTTTGCACATCAACTACATTTTATTCCTGGACTACTGGCCTTCAGACAAGTGACACAGCAATGAAACATGGAACATCAGAATGTTATAACACAATCTGACAACACTTCGACAGAACAAATTGGCAGCTCTTCCAGGAAGTCGCCAAAAGAACTCTTGCGCGACCAACCTTGATCGCATCTCCAATCATTCTGGCAGACCTTAGTAAGTTATGGGGCCCCAACAGGTCTGAACTTTGTGGCACATGCCCAGATTGCATAGCTGTTTTCTTCACAGAAAAGGTCAAGTGCGCATCTAGTAGCGGCGTCAATCATCACTGAACTCTGATAAAAGAAACTATGTTTTTGTGTGGACGAGACGGTCTGTTTCCGTGCATCCAGACATCTGACATGAACATGTCATGATATTGGAAAGGTTTGTCCACTATATGTGCTGATCAATTGTTCCAAAATCCACCTTCTAATTAGATTAATTAGACCCGGAACCCGGGTACCGCCAGTTTATCAAAAAACATATATATATATATATATAATGACGCCCTTTTCTATACAACGGCAATTCCAATATCAAGTCCTTATAAAATGGCAATTCTTGAAACTTATAAAATTGCAATTCTGCATGAGTGTTCAGCCACTCCAGAACCTTATCCGCCGACCCCGGCCTTCGCCAAGGCCGGGGCGGCGCCTGGGACCACCGCAGGTGTGGAACTTTTCCAACACGCCCAGCACGCAAAAGCTACCACAAGGCCACAGCAATGGCTCAAGGGCACCTTCCGGCCGCAGCAATGGCTTCTTATAGGCGTTCAAGGCTGCCGTTTGCCAGGCCTCAAACCCTCCAAAACCCTCCAAACGCTCCAAAAGTTCGCATAGCTCCGCAGGGACAAGGTACCCCAACAAGCCCAACACGCGCCACTCCCGCACGCAATCAAAACCCTCCAAAACCCTCCAAACGCTCCAAAAGTTCGCATAGCTCCGCAGGGACCAAGGTACCCCAACAAGCCCAACACGTGCCACTCCCGCACGCAAAAGCCACCACAAGGCCACAGCAATGGCTCAAGGGCACCTTCCGGCCGCAGCAATGGCTTCTTATAGGCGTTCAAGGCTGCCGTTTGCCAGGCCTCAAACCCTCCAAAACCCTCCAAACGCTCCAAAAGTTCGCATAGTTCCGCAGGGACAAGGTACCCCAACAAGCCCAACACGCGCCACTCCCGCACGCAAAAGCCACCACAAGGCCACAGCAATGGCTCAAGGGCACCTTCCGCCCGCAGCAATGGCTTCTTATAGGCGTTCAAGGCTGCCGTTTGCCAGGCCTCAAACCCTCCAAAACAAACCTCCCAAACGCTCCAAAACCCTCCAAACGCTCCAAAAGTTCGCATAGCTCCTCAAGGGCACCTTCCGGCCGCAGCAATGGCTTCTTATAGGCGTTCAAGGCTCCGTTTGCCAGGCCTCAAACCCTCCAAAACCCTCCAAACGCTCCAAAAGTTCGCATAGCTCCGCAGGGACAAGGTACCCCAACAAGCCCAACACGCGCCACTTCCGCACGCAAAAGCCACCACAAGGCCACAGCAATGGCTCAAGGGCACCTTCCGGCCGCAGCAATGGCTTCTTATAGGCGTTCAAGGCTGCCGTTTGCCAGGCCTCAAACCCTCCAAACGCTCCAAAACCCTCCAAACGCTCCAAAAGTTCGCATAGCTCCGCAGGGACAAGGTACCCCAACAAGCCTAACCAAACCCTCCAAAACCCTCCAAACGCAGGGCACCTTCCGGCCGCAGCAATGGCTTCTTATAGGCGTTCAAGGCTGCCGTTTGCCAGGCCTCAAACCCTCCAACCCTCCAAACCTCCAAAAGTTCCAGCTCCGCCAGGTACCCCAACAAGCCCAACAAACGCTTCAATGGCTCAAATGCAAGCAGTTCATAGGCGTTCAAGCTGCCGTTTGCCAGGCCTCAAAACCTCCAAACGCTCCAAAAGTTCCAAACCAGCTCCGCAGGGACAAGGTACCCCAACAATCCAACACGCGCCACTCCACAGCAAGTTCAAGGCTGCCATTTGCCAGGCCTCAAACCCTCCAAAACCCTCCAAACGCTCCAAAAGTTCGCATAGCTCCGCAGGGACAAGGTACCCCAACAAGCCCAACACGCGCCACTCCCGCACGCAAAAGCCACCACAAGGCCACAGCAATGGCTCAAGGGCACCTTCCGGCCGCAGCAATGGCTTCTTATAGGCGTTCAAGGCTGCCGTTTGCTAGGCCTCAAACCCTCCAAAACCCCCTCCAAACGCTCCAAAAGTTCGCATAGTTCCGCAGGGACAAGGTACCCCAACAAGCCCAACACGCGCCACTCCCGCACGCAAAAGCCACCACAAGGCCACAGCAATGGCTCAAGGGCACCTTCCGGCCGCAGCAATGGCTTCTTATAGGCGTTCAAGGCTGCCGTTTGCCAGGCCTCAAACCCTCCAAAACCCTCCAAACGCTCCAAAAGTTCGCATAGCTCCGCAGGGACAAGGTACCCCAACAAGCCCAACACGCGCCACTCCCGCACGCAAAAGCCACCACAAGGCCACAGCAATGGCTCAAGGGCACCTTCCGGCCGCAGCAATGGCTTCTTATAGGCGTTCAAGGCTGCCGTTTGCCAGCCCCGGCATTGTCCTTTTATGGTGGTTCAAGCCTGCCGTTTGCCAGCCCGCAAAACCCCCCAAATGCTTCCCTGCAGCTCCCATGCCGTTTGCCAGCCCCGGCATTGTCCTTTTATGGTGGTTCAAGCCTGCCGTTTGCCAGCCCGCAAAAGGCGATGATGAGGCGCCACAACTCGTGGCCCTGGCGCGGCAAGCTCAGCAGCTTCCGGAGATCAGTACCCTTGATTATCCCTGAGTTTCAAAATCAATGATACTCTACCACCAATCATACAATGATAGGAGGCCAAATATGCTTAAAAATATGAACTGAGGTCTGACTTCAAATTTGTAGCGTCATACTCATTGCATACACATTGCACCTTGTGATTGAATTGCGGCATGTTGGGGCATATCAAAACATATATGTCCATGTCTGTCCCACCATGTACCACCATCGACCTCAGCACGGCCCGCCGGAAGCGACGCGCCACTGACCCACTGAACCGCTGATGCTGATGCCGTCGGATGCCGTCGGAGTATCTATCTCTCCCTCTCTATCTATCTATCTCTCCCTCTCTATCTTTCTCTCCCCCTCTATCTATCTCTCCCTCTCTATCTATCTATCCATCTATCTATCTATCCATCCAGCTATCTATCCATCTATCTCTCCATCTACTTATCTGTCTATCCAACTGTCTATCTATCTATCTGTCTATCTCTCTCTCTCTCTCTATCTCTCTACCTATCTATCCATCCATCCATCCATCCATCCATCCATCTATCTATCTCTCTCCCTCTCTCTGCAGGACCCCCCAAATAGGGGGGGTCGGCGGCACCCGGGCGCTAGCCCATTCTATTTCCAATTCTTTTTTATTTTTTTCATCATCATTGTTATACTTAAGGTTTAAGTTGATCATTGAAAATTTCAAAAAACAACTATTCCCCAAATGATCGATTTCTAATTAAAATATTTGTGAAAATCATCAGTTTGGATAGCTCCCAAAGGGGTACCCCCCATGAGCCCATGTCCCCCATTAATAATAACCACGGTTTGCCCCTGATTTATCAACCCCCTTTCTGATCCATGAGATTTTAACAAATCCAATGGAATTCTATTAAGATCTAATTGACGTAAGCCATATCCAAAGTTTTATGGTTCAGAATTTTATGGTTCAGGGTGCATTTATTTAGGGGTGGTCAAGAAAACTAGCCAGAAGGTACCCCCCCTACCTTCTGGGGGGGGGGCGGTTTATCAATCCGGTGTTGGCATTACTGTGATTCTACATTCAAAACCTTAGCGTTTGTCCAGGTTCTGTCTATGAAGGTAGGTGGCACTTCCAGAATACGTCGCAGACCTTTTACTTGAAAAGCATCTAATCTATTAAGATGGTTTTTGTTTAGTTGCAAGGTTTCCAGACCATAAGTCAAATTGCTTCATAGACAGCCAGTTTCCACAGTAAAGGACAATGGAAACGCCAGAACAAGCGGATAGAACAAATTGCATCCATTGCCGCTGAGATTCTATTATTGATTTCCAGTGTCGTACAGGCTGCACTGGACAGCAAACTTCCTAGATACTTAGAAACGTTAACGTTTTCAATACGTGTTCCATACTGGAAAGCAATCCGATGTTGTCCGTTCATGGAAATGACCTGACACTTCGAATGGTTGAACTTCAGATTGTAGTAAGAAGATTCTTGTTCGACGATTTTAAGAAACGAATTCATTTGATGGGGGTGCGTGGTAATCAGTAGCATTAAGTAGCATGTCATCGGCATACAACAAATCACTATACCGCAGGTGAGGCAATCTGTCGTTCAACAGAGCAACTCCAATTCTATCATGACTTCATTAAAGAAAAAAGTCATCAAAAGAATGAAAAGACAAGGACTGAGAGGGCAGCCTTGGCGGATACGGCTTTGCTGGGTGTAAATGTCAGGTTGCAGTTGCGAATCTTGAACGAAGAAGCGGGGAATGCTGCACATAGCGGTGCAATGCTTCTACAAGTTTTACCAGAAATATTCAAGCACTGCAATGCTTCTACAAGTTTTCAGTGATCAATCTTATCGAACGCCTTCTCAAAATCTAACAAATCTAACAACGTGAAATTCAAGTTGGCGCCACTCATTTCATCTTGATCCTGCACTCCCCTTGCCCAAAAAACGGCTTGTGTGCTGTGGGCTTTTCGAAGCCGAGCTGTGTTTTCCAGATATATGGGCCTATTTTTGGCCGGAATGTACTGAGAACAAGTGAAGCAAAAAGCTTACAAAACACGGAAAGAAGGAAAATCGGTCGGTAGTTGGACAACAGCTCAGGATTTCCTTTCTTAAAAATAGACGTCACTCTAGTACACTCTAGCCACTTCCAAGTCATCTGGGAGCGACGATCTGTTCCAACAATCATTGGGTAGAAGCAAAACAGATTGTAAATTAGAATCGTCAAACAGTTTCGGCAGGTCGGCGGAAGTATCATCTGGACCCGTAGCCTTGTTCTTTTTAAGGCTTCTGAGAACCGTTCTAAGTTCGTCAAGAGTAAAATCACTGTCATCAAGGTGAAGATCGTCAGTCATGATTTTCCTAGGGGCAAATTTTGGCGGGCAAGGCTCCGGAGGTTTCCATTGCCCATTGGCAAGATAGTCGGCATTTGCAGATGCCTTCTGCGAGAGATCGATATAATTACCATGGCTTTTTTGAAGCGGGACGAATCCCGGGATGGACTTCTGTCTAGCAGTTTTGATGCTTTTCCATTTTCCATCCATGCAGTGCGCCTGTTCAAAGGAACGAATTACATGAAGTTTTCGGTCTCTCTTGGCCAATCTTCGCACCAGCTTTCTTGTTTCTAGTTCCGCACTTTTCTGACTTATTCTGCGGTACCAATGTTTGAGCTCGATCAGTTGCCACGTTTCATCCGATAAGTAACTCTTCTTTTGTAGCGGGAGTACAGGGGAAAAGGAACCCTTTGCATTGTTCTATATATTGCTGCTGAACACACGAAGCCATGTGGTGATATCAGTAGCCAAATCAGGCAACGAGCTGCACGATTGCAAGAGTCCTGGGTTGAAATGTTCAACCTGCTCTTGCGAAGGTTGTCTGAATTTAAAGCGCCTCCGCGCGTGTGGCTTTTTTGATGCTTTGAATTTGATGAGAACGGAGGGGATAAGCACAAAATGATCCGAGTCCACTTGAACATCAGGCAAGGATTCAACGTTCTTGATAGCATTTTGCCATCGCGCGGAGGCTAGCACAAAATCAATCTGAGCATACCTTACTGCATCCCAGGGGGGTCCTCCCTCGGAATTGAAAACTTCAGAGTAAGTGCACAATCACTTGGGATCTTTTTGAAAAAGAGTATTCAAGGCCCGAAAATCAACAGATTTTAGAAACTCGACCAAGAGTTGGAGTCCCCTCCCCAGAATGTGAGGCCCGACGTGCGGAAAATCTGAACATCGTGGACATGATGCAATCTAAAATAAGAAATCTCCATAGATAAGTCGGACTTCAGCATCTGAAAACTTCCTCTGTGCGATAAGGTTATGATAAAACAATATAAAACAGCTCCTTTTCACCAGATGGACGTCCGGCGTGAGGTGCATAAACAGAGAATATGTGAAGTGGGTTCCCATGACACTTTGTCGACAATCTGGCAATTCTGCTGCTTAGAGTTTCGAAATTGTGAACAAAGCGGGTCATTTCTGGTGAGATAATGAAACCAACTCCAGCGAATTCCCTGGCTGCATTTCCATCCAACGGATTTGTGAGTTCGCTGGAAAAGACAAACCAAAAGCCATCCTGCTCCTGAATACTAGAGTGATTGACGTGAGTTTCTTGAATACACATGATGTCAATGTTCAAATTTTCCCTGTCAGTGATTTTCAGCCCATGGATCTTGCAAGAAGCAAGCAGTAGGTTGCGTGCATACGGTAATTTTTCAGAAAGTCTGTCTACAGAGGTGTTAAAAAGCGATTCTCCTCAGGTGAAACAACTTGCTGTTGCTTCTGCAGCAGCTTGAGTTTGCGACGGTTATTTTTGAAGATAATATGAGGTTTAAATGAAGATTGACTGGTGTGGTTGGTCCTTGCGCTTCCTGAGTGGCTAAAGAAATAGGCTGGACCGCCACTTTGCCCAGCCTATTTGGCAGAAGGTGTTTCTTAAAGATTCGAAAGTAAGACTGATACAAATATCTATAATCTAAAGTAAGCCAATGCCTACTGGTGAATGATATTGTCTTAAGAATGATTTGAAGGTGATGTTCGAAATCCCCCAGATGGGGCATTTCCCAATCCTACCGTAATTTTGAAATGTTTGGGGGTTTTCCCACAATTTCCAGTCAAACCCAGGTAGTTTGAGGCCTCGATATCTTGCAGCTGCAAGAATCCGTGAGCCACAGCGAAGGCCCGATACCTGAATGGCGCAGCATAAGATTATACTGTGCTAGGGTCAAAACATGATGGGTGTATGAATCCCTACTACTAATGGATTGATGACCATCCCACAATATACATGTAGCACATATGGTATTATCAGGTGGCAATTATCGATATGTATATATATATAATTATTATGAGTAATTATGTACCATCAGGGTTTGTCTGACAATTGTCGGGAAACAAAAAGAACACTGTATATAGCGCCATTTTCCCCATGACAATTTGGTAATTTTGGGGTGTCCCCCATTTTCAGACACCAACAACCGAGCCGGCGGCTTCTTGGAAGAATCAAACCAACTCCTCAGTTGCCATAGATGTTTCGTGATGTTTGATGATGTCTGACTGGAAATATGAAAATCTGTCTAGAAACTACAAATATAATTACACCCCTTATACCCCATATTACCCCATCTTCGGTGGTAAATTCTTCATTCTTAGGCCCCGGTTGAGGTCCGCACAGGCCCCCAGTAGCTGGAGGAGGGGTCGCAGTACCAGTCCGTAGCAGTGGAAGCTCTTCGCTCGGAAGAGTCGGAGCGCCTCAAGCGCTTCAGAAATTTCGACCAAAACGAGGACTTCATGGGAAGATTGTTGATGGAACAATGGTGCATTTGGATTTAACCAACAAGATGCAACGATAAAATTGGTAGTGCAAAAATATGGATTTTACCATCAAAAAGGGAATGCAAGATGAATATCTCCGATATCACTGATTGTTAAATGGCACATTTAGGGGATTCGAAAAACCCGAACCAATTGTTATTGGACCTGTTCCTCAACACGGCTGGGGGATGTTTCAATGGGACACGTCACTACCCCTGGGACCTTTGGAGGCCTTGAAAGCGCCCACATGCTCCCACATCAAGAGGTAACTCATGGTAATTCATGATTTTCACCAAAGAGTGCTGTAGTTTTCACATGTTTTCACATCCCAAACATGAACAGGGTGGATCTTTGACAAAAATGGATGGTGAACATGGATGGTGGATCACATCCCAAAAATGGATGAATCTTCACCTTTTTGGCCAAAAAATGGATGGTGAATCCACGTTCCCACTGCTAAGTTGGCCACTGTCAGGCGGTGAAAAGTTGGACTTGTGGCCTTTGATCATCTTCCATTGCTGCTGCACCTGACCCACCGTTCCCATCCGTTCCCAACATCTGTAACTTCACTGCTCCACCGTGATCCATTACAAAACGTTACAAAACCTCCCTGTTTGGGACACCCTAAACTTATATAATCATCCATTTAACCATGAAATTCCTGATTTGGAATGGGAAAATGGATGGTTTGGGATAGCCATGGATGGCCTATCTGGATCTATCTGGTGGCTTCCCAGGCCTGCTGCCGCTGGCGCTTGAAGCTTCCGATTTCTCCGCCATCGGTGCTGCTGGAACTGCCACTGCTGGTGCTGCTGCCTCGGAGGTCGCAGCAGCGGTAGATATACATCTAGCCATGTACATATTTCATGTATAGATATTATGTGTATGTATATATAAATATAATGTTTATATACATATTTGTTTGTTTATTTATTTGTTTATTTATTTAAATCTATCTATTTATCTAACTATTTATATATATATACATAAGAATTCTGAAACAGAACTCTGCACACACAGATCATAAAGTCAGAAAATGTTATGTCTTATCCATTCAAAAAAAATGAGAAACCCCACGATGTTGGTCATGTTTGGCCAGGATGCTGTCCGACTCGCTGCTCCCACTGCTCCCGCTGTCGTCAGCTCGTCGCCTAGGGCATGCACAGAAGGATGACTGGGATTCCCACAATCCGAATCCCAGTTGCCAAATATGTTCAGTGCACCTGGGATTTTGCCCAAGAATGAACCTAAGGATGCTAAACAACTTAAGAATGAGGATTCAAATAATTCGAACGATAAAAAAAAGATTTACTGGGTTCGCAGAGAAGGATGGAATGTGAGCCCAAGCCCGAAAGTGAGTACTGCATCTTGCATCGGCCAGGCAGATCTGGGTGATGGCAACCCATAGTGGGGCACCAATGGACCCACAAATTTAGCTATGTGGAATACCAAGCCATCAATTTTTTGTTGACCACCCAGCTCAGCTTGAAGACCAAGCTTCACCCAGTGCCGCAAACGCCAGGCACGCTTCTTCCGCTTTCTTCGGTTCTGCTTTTCCTCGGGCAAATGCAATGGAAGTGTCTTAGGACATTTAAAAAAACTTAACCTTAGAAGGATAGCAAAGAGGTCAAAGATTCACATGAAGATGTCCCAAAGCTGTGTACACCAAACTTGATCACCCCGGGGATCCTATCACATAAAAAGATCTTTTGAATGGAAACACGTGGAAACACCATGCTTTGCAGCGACATAACAAGCCCAGCTTGGCCCAGCTTGGCCCAGCTTGGCCCAGCTTCTTCGATAATTCCTCTGCTCCCCAACTGCTCTTGCTGAATGGTCCGTTCAGCTTCCGAGTCGGTGGTCCATTCGGAGGAAATGGATTCGCAGCCGATCCTCAGCTGGGGTACACGTCATTCATAGATTCACGTCGTGCTTAAGCAGTTAGGCACTTCGGCTTTCCTACAAATGTGTTTCTCATGGGAAATAACTATAACCATTGGTCCAATTTAATCTACCTCTTAAATCCCTTAAATCCTAACCGTTTAAACCAATATTAACCATTGGTATACCATTGGTTTTGTGAACTTCCATCAACAACCGATAAACTCCATGGGTTTTCGGATGGGTTTTCTATTCGCTCCAAGGGGCTCCAGCTCGGTGTTTCGAAGACGGAAGACGCGATCCTCCTGCGGCCCATTGCTGACGAGGAAATCCCCTTGCGCCATCGAAACGAATCGCTATTCATCAACGCGGTGAGAGATGTTGGGCCTCCAAAAAGGATAGAAAGGTCCAATCCTAAACAGTGACAAGTTCACTGTTAATTCATTTTTTTTATTCTGGGTATAGCCGGTATAGCTTGAGTTTATGGACCCCAACTTGCTTTAGACATGGAGAAAAGGCCATTTTCAAAGCTTTTTGTCTCTGCATTGCCTCGTTTCGAGCCAATCTTTCGTTCAGCTGTCAGCTGGGGGTCTCTAAGTCTTGGCTCAAGCCTCAACGGCTGCTGAGAAAACAGAAAAATGTGGTGTAAAATTGGAAAGTTATGGAAAATTGATGCAAATCATGGAGAACTGATACCGGACGGTACCAGACGGAGCGCTCACCTTGCGATCAGCTGGGGCTGATTCCGACACCTCACTGGTTGTCAAACTTGGCGCACCTGACATCCAGGATTCCTCACCACAGAAAATCTAAGTCTACCCTCTAGTAATTTAACAGAATGGCCATTTAGTTCATTGATTTACCCATCAATGGTGCTTTTCCATAGTTTTTTGTATGTTTACTATGGAGGGGTAACAAGTCGAACATCCAGGTCTATCTTTGTCTCAACCTTCAAACCGGACTGTGCCCACCTTGCGGAACTGGACGGGGGACCGGTTCCACTTCACCGAGGATCGGTTCCATGTCAGTCTCATCAAACAGACCTGGCCACCGGATTCGAGGTCCATTTCCATGTTCAAACCGAAATTGGGGTGGAATCGATGTAAAAACCGTTCGTTTTTGATATTCACGATTCTTGTTTGATGTTGGCTGGTTAAACTACATAAAATCCACCTAAAACCAGTGTAAGCTCCATGCTTGAATTCCCATCGATTACCCCCGCCCAGTCCTACCCAGCCGGATGCGGACCTGCCAATTTGGACTTTCGGGCTCCCGGCACGACAATCTCAGAGTCGGGTTCCCGCCGCCGATCAGGCCTTGATTGGGATTTGTGGATATGTTTGGAAGTTTGGGGAAGTCAAAAACTATAGTTCCTTCATCAAAATATCGGGTGATAGTAAAAAGCGCGGTGTGCAGTAGGAAAAAAAGACATGCAATGACCTAGTTCAAAAGAGACTGTCGCTGAAGTCTCAATGCTCCTGCGTTTCGCTTCTTGTTGGCAGATACATATCCACTGGTTTCTAGGACGAAGATAAAAGGACGACATACATTTTTAATATGAAAATACCAAGGAATGTCATCAATGGGGCAATATGTGAAACCGGCAATCTGCGATTCAGAGCCTTTGGGGCTCCACACGTGGAACGTGGCCAATCACCACCTCCACGGCCAGGCGGAAGGAATGCCAAATCCGAGGGTCCTGCGACTTGTGCAGCTTTGAGATCCTATAGATGACCCTCTTTTTTTGAATTGGGGGTCGAAAATGTGGACCCATATCAATATTGAAGCAGGGAATGACATAGTTGTGTATCCCCGATTTCGGCCCTCCCCAGATCTTTGAAATCATTGACACTTTCCGTGGCCGGGCATTCCATCGCAGTCATATGCATCCCATCATGGTTTTCAAGCTCCTGAAATATACCGCCTTTGGCTTTCCGGTATCCATCGTGGAAGTGGTTTAAGGTCTATCTTAGATCGTAGAAGCCAGGTGCCAAGGTTTTTCTCAAACCCAGTGTTGGTTCCTATCCCCGTGCTACTAAGTGATGGTCACCCTATTTCCGATGGTGGCATCAGCCACCCAATGAAGCGTCAGCAGGGCCTTCTGGTGCAGAATGCGGCAAAGTCGTTGGTGTTGATTGCTCAATGGGAGTATCCTGCCGTTGGAACCGCGGATGTGGGGGATCACCAGCTGACAACGTGAAATGCATGGGAGATTCCCAGCCATCTGCAGTTTGTTCAATTTCTAATCAATGTGATTAGTTAGTAGGTCAGTTTTGACTCAATTTGAAAACACATCCTGTTTCATGCTTCAATCATATTGACCCTTGACAGATCCTCTCCCCGCGTCCTTCTTCTTGAAGAAGCCGCGCATGGCACCCTTTTCTTGCCCGTGAAAGCGCAAACGCTTCAGAATTGCGTATCGAGTCATTGGATGGTTTCACATCAACCAACAGCCAATCTCTTCTGTCTTCCTGGCTGGCTTTAGTAAATACATAGAGACTGGCCTGAAATCTTCACTTAAAACCAACTGGTCAGTTCTTGTTTTGTTGTTGTGTTGCTGACTCTGTCGCTTGTGTTGGAATGAAAGGTTGTTTTTTTTTTCGAAAATGCAGAAAAGACTTTGCAAATGACATGTTGCTCCAAAATGCTTCAAATGAACTATCAAGGAAAACTGCCCCAGACTGGTAAAATACCTTTGCCCTCCCTTTTTTCTATTCCATCTCCGCATCACGACCTTGGCATGGCGAAATGGCATTGGCCCTCACCTTGGAAATGATCCAGTGACGCCGGCGCTCCACAACCGAAGACCGAAAACGTTGGTTACCTGCTGGAAGACGATCTTCCCAAAATTGCAGATGTTCATCTTTGTTGCGTCCAATGGACCAGGTTGGCCCAAACCTGGCCATGATCACACGATTACATGATGGAGATCATGATTGCTCATATTCCTAAAAGTCATTGGATCCAAAGCACATGCCCTTGGCATTCAGATACTTCACGGCTGGAAGTCTGGCATGCCATGCTGCAGCGTTTCTACCAGTGGCAAATCGGAGTTTGCACTGCGCGCTGCAGACGTTCCAAATTAAAGATTTTGGTGTGTTTCCAAAAATCTGACCCCGAAATCCACTTTCGCACTTTCGCACATGGAAAACAGCTAACTGAAGTATCCCAGACTGTTGGACACACCATTGCCAGCGCTGCTGGCAGCAATGCTGTGGAAACGAGGCATCTCAATGCAAACCAGGTACCCCTCGAGCCGAGGGAAAGGCTCAGAGGGGAGTCCACATGAACATGGCAAGATAAATATGATATATAAATCTTCAAAAAAAAACATACGGAAAAGAAAAAATCCTTCCATGCACCAATCAAGTTCCAGTTGCTCTTAGATTTGACCAAAACGAACACCTTCGTCAGCTTCGTCAGAATGTCCTGGAGTTGCCGGAGCCGGTTCATCCCACAGGCTTACGTGAAACCGGTTGAAAATATTCAAAACATGCCGTGCTGGAACCCATTCGGTTCAATGGGGACTCGGATTGAAAGGCCTTGGTTTTTATTCCTCCGATAGCTTTCAGAACATTGATATGCTCTGCTAGGAAACTTTTTCTATGTTGGTCTCATTCCAAGCATCTTCTTAAATCCCAAGATAAATAAAAAATGCAAAAACTTGAGGTGCCTTTCAACATCTGGCAGACATCGAGTCCCAAGCAGCACGGATCAACATCTTATTCGTTGACGCGCGGGGAGATCTGGATAGACCCTGGACACTAGGCTTGGCATCTTCGATAGGTCCATTTCCAGGCTTCAGCTCAGATGAGGCCGAAAATCAAATCCAACCCCTACCTGTGCCCTTCAAAATATCCCAATATAACTGGGCTCACAAGGATTCCAACATGCTACACCATTTCACTAGGGTTAATTGAAGCATATTGAAGCTAACCAAGTATGATGGCTCTTAGGTGGCCTATCTTTGCGAGAATATGATCAATGATGGGCCCTTCTCCGAGATAGGACTTGAACCAGTGATTGGGGTATTGCTAGGATCCATCGGAATCCATCGGTGCTTGGAGCCATAAAAACTGGCTGTATTCTTCTGCTGTCCGGCTTTGAACGTTCAAAAGATCTGGGTGTATCAGATTTGCAATCGACAAGTAACAAAGCTCACAAAGAAAATACGGGTGCCAAGAGGCGACCCATTGAGGGAACATTCGCAGAATTCCGACGACTGATTGACAGGAAATTCTTTGAACCACAGAGCTTGTTCAACAGATTTCAACCATCTGAGAAAGGTACTCGGCCTCTCTGACCCCTGTCATTCGACCAAAAATTGCAGGCTGTGCTGTCACAAGCTGGATTCTCCGCACACACCTGCGCGAAGGATCCAAGGAATTCCAAGGCTGAACTGCACTCTAATAAGATCTAATAGCCCGAGCCTGCGCTGCACACACCTCTTTGGCTCGGCAGCACCGCCGTGTTCAACGTTGCCTGAGAGCTGTATCCTTCTGACCAGATGGCACCAGACATCGACAGATCAGCTCCGGACACGGCCCATTTCTTCCAAATTCGGTAGGCCCGGTAGGCCTGGTGCCTCCCAAGCAGCGAACACTGCTGTGATATGTGAATTCTCTGACCATTTCACCAGCATTCACCAGCCTCTGAGGATCTTTCGGCACCTGATACGCAAAGGCACAACATGAAAGATTTCACTGCAGATCCATCAAATACAATCATCCTGGAGTAGCGAGAATGTCTCCAATTTCTTGATGTTCATGATTTTCGAATATTTCACAGCACATCTATTCCAGGACGCTACAGAAGTCGCTGAGACCCCGACCCTTGCGACCAAAGCCACCGAAACTCGCAGCACCAAAGTTGTTCACCGAGATGGTTGGGGCATGAAGCGTATTGCCTGGGGCCCTTTGTCCACCAAATCCACCCAGGCCAGCCCCGAAGCCACCGCCATTCGCTTTCGGCCCACCCAGCCCACCCAGGCCACCCAGGCCGATGGATGGAGCATTCGGCAGGCCACCAAAGGTGTTGGCACTAGCACCAGCACCTGACCACTCTCAGCAGTCCGACAGTTGTTTCAAGGGGATTGCAAAGTCACTCAGAACATCTCATAACATTCATAACCTGAGAATCATTTTAAATAACTAACTACACCAACTACACTAAGTACACTAACTACAAACGGATGACTCCTCTGAGGTCTGCTTCTTGCAGTTGCCACGGGTTTGTGTGGCCGATCCGGCACCTCGGAGGTCTTCTAGTCGTGCGCTGCCAAGACTAAGGCCACCTGCGCCTAGTCCTTGCGCAGGCGCTGCTTGCAGCGCCTGTTTGGCTTGTTCCACGTAGCGCTCCTGTGCTCGCAGCAGATCCCATGGTCCCACACCATAAGACCAGAGGTGACAGGCTCAGAGTGGAGTCAAATCACCGGTTATGAGTCGTAGAGGCTAGAAATGGATAGTTTGAGGGCATAAAGCTGGCTTATAGCTGAGCCGCAGAAAATAAAGTATTTGGTGCATCCTACCTCGTAATCCATTTCCGTACCTTTGTTGGGGGCCTGACGTCGTTCTCCAACGCTGCTGCTACGCATGAAATGAAACGCCTACCCGGTTCTCGAGGTCTTCCTATTCATTTTGCAGTCTGAACATAGTGTTTTCAACAAACAGCGGTACACCAATAAAAGCCGACACCAGACGCAGCTGGGAATTGGCTGTGTGGCAAACATGTCGTCAGGTTGGCTTTCATACAGCCAGTTGCATGACAGGTCCTGTTCGGAGTGAAAGGCCTCCATATCTTTCAGATATTGACTGGCATCCTTCTCCGTCATCGGCCTGAAACATTCGGTGACTACAGTTGAAATCGATGAGCTGAAACCCCTGAAATTGTCACTCCCAACTAGGGTTTGCCGACTAGAATTTTGCCAACTACAGCCCCAGTCATACTGGGTTTCAGCTCATAGGCACTGGCCATCTGGGACCAGCTGTTGGTGGTTGCATTGGTGCCCCATGTTTTGCACCTAGTGTTGTCTCCGGCTATCTCAGAACCACGTCTCTGAAGCTCTCGGAAGCGCGTGTCAAGCCTTCAGCGCACAGGATTGGAATGGAAAGTTATGACATTCTTCAATTTTTTGAACATGAGAATTGAACATTTTGAACATTTTGAACTGTTCCAACGCGAATTTTGATCCTCTCCGGTGATTTTGCGTGTGATTTTGCAAAGGTCCAAATGCCGCAACTCGAAGTCACAGGTTGCTGCATTTTCCAGGGACCCCAAACGAAGTGCCCATGTTGGCCAGTGGGGCGAGAACCTGAACGGCCATGGAATCCCAGTCAGCAAAGGTTGGCAGAAAACTTTGGGTATCTTTGGGTATAGTGAAAAACAATCATTCGGTGTCTAGTGAAACACAAAATGCATCAACATTGACATCATCAGCATCCATACAAAGCTTGTTCTTCAACCAGTTTCGGGAGGCGAAATTTTTTTCACTGCTGAAGAGCACAACAAGTCTCGACTGCCTGCTGCGGAATCCGAGAAAGTTGTGGAGCCAAACCTTGAAACTCCTGGAAGGACAGGGATTGTAATCACCATCTGGCAATTTTGAGGAAATTCAATGTGTCTATATTTGCAGATGTAGATCCGGAGTTGTATATGGTAGACATGTAGATAGATGGAAAAGTCGAAAATATAGGTCGTCATAGTGATACCTGGGTTTTGAGACCTTCAATTTACTATGGGTTCGGATATTCACAATGATATCAACCATTGAAAGGCCAAATCGGCCAGCCATCAACTTGTGTCTTCCAAGAGACAACCATCAGCACTGTTGAGGCGAAAACGTTGGTGGATGGCTAGTTGGCTTCTCCAAAATGTACACTGTCCGCCATTTTCTGGTGGCAGGAGTAGATATGATATGATGGTTCCCCACATTGACATGGCTGTGAGAGATACCTTAAGATATTCTCAAGATATCCCCAAAATCTCACCCGCCATTTCTCCTGCATGAGCCGAATCACCTTCTCAATGATTGCAGAGAGACGCCGGTCGGTCTCAGGCGTCACCTGCGAACGTGCAGCCCCGCAATGGCTGGCGGCAAAGGATCAAAAAGGCATTGGGTCCTGGCCTGTCCGGGGAGAGGTGCCTGACCCATGGGGCCAATTCCTATGGAGCCCGTTGAGCCCATGGAGCCCATGGCCTGCCAAGCAAAATCAGAAATTTCGGAGTTCCAAATTTGCTGTGGAAAGTTCTTTTCTTTCAAGATGGCATTAGGATGTATTCAATATTCTTCAATCCTACTGGGGATGTAGCTTGAAAATTGGCCAAATTGGGTCATCCACACCTGCGCCGGTGCTCCAGTCGCTGGTAGCGGCCCAAAGGATGCAGCTTGGGCTCCCACAGGAGCTGGGGACAGGCGATTGCCTAGCATGCCCTGGTAACCTTAGGTGGCTGGGTAGATGGATGGCCAAATGAGTAATGACCCAAAACAAATAGAAAAGTAATTTGCCACTGTAATGGAAGAAGTTTACTGTTCTACATCTTTTTCACGGCAACTTCCTTCTAATATATCACACACAAATCCCAGTTGTTGCTGATAAAATACCCATGTTCCCTCATGTTTCACGACAAAATTCGTTCAAATCCTCAGTTTTCCTATGGGTTTTGAGCCCCTTTTCTGCCAAAAACCCCCAATTTGGAGGTTTCCTAAAATCGGGGTACCCCCAGTTCTCATCCACTTTAATAGGGTTTTCCATGAAATAAACCATCCAGCTATTGGGGTACCCAATCTTAATTTCAAGGAACCGCTGGAGCTCGGCGCTGCAGCCTGCTTCACTTGATACTCCGCATCGCCGACGAAGGTCAGCTGCCTGTATCACCAGGTGCATGCCATTTGCAGCTGGGACTAAACCATGCATAATAGGTCATTCAATATAAATTTAGGAGGATACAAATGATGATGGATTATAATGGGATATGATGGATTATGACTATAGCGTGGGATATGATGGATTATAATGGGATATGGTGGATTATAACGGATTATACGGGGATATAATATAATAGATTATAGTGCATTATATATATATATATATGTATGTGAGAGGTCTTGGGGACCCCTCGACACTGGTAGCCCTCAACCAAACTGATGTTCCTTGACCTCAAGGATGTAGAACCACAAGTGAATCTGTCCTCAGAATGATAGTTGTTCCAGTTAATACCAACCAAATACCCAAGTGGGGAAACACCGGCAACGATCCCACTCCAAATGGCGCCCTGCGCTTGTTTTTCCCTCTAATCCTGAAAGTCTGGCCCTTGAGCCACACCAAGCGATCGCGGACCTTCATCCACTGCATCAGCTGAAACCCTTGGCACAATCGAAGGTCACCTAGTGGAAGTTATTTCAAATCACACTGGTTATACTTTTAAATTCGATTGTTTACCCATGTTACCCCATACTTTCGGTTCGCATTTTGTTTTAACGTCAGGTCTTCATCATAGATACGGAATCTTCCAAGTTGCATGACGGTCCTGAGAAAAGTGTTGTCCATAGTTTTGGTAAGGCTATCAGCGAGCATGATGGCTGTTGAAACCCATCGACATGTTGTGTGATCTCGGGATTGTTCCTTGAGCAACATCACTTCTATAGTCGTTCTCCACTCTTGACAGTTGGGAACTGCGGTTTTGGTTATCAGGTCGTATAGTGACTTACAATCTGTGATCATAAGGCCAGGATGTTCTTGCTTCAAGGATGTCTCCGGGCGAGACCAAGCAAAGTTAGGATTCTTTATGAATCCCCACATACTTCTAATCCATGTCAACTTGTCCAACGAGCTTGACATTGCATACGCTTCTGCACTTAGGGTGGATCTAACGACTCTTCCTATCTGTTTTGAATGCCACACAATTGGGGTAAAATCCGTAGTTTCATTGTTTCCCAAATTTGGGGTACAAGCCATGATAAATAACCCTTGTTGTGCTGACAGCTGCTTTGCAGATGCGAAGCTTGCGTCACCGAAGCTGGCAAAGCATATGTCCCTCATCGGAATTGGTCTGACGACCACTGAAGTTTCGGCATGATTCTGAGCTTCACGGAGCGTCCTGTTTCCTTCAAGTAACGTTTCCACTGTAGCTTGGTTGATCCCCTTTTGGAGGCTGGCAACCCTTGCTGCCAGGTCAGGTCTAGAATGTACTGCAGCGTACTGCAGGCTACCGCATAATCCTCTCAACTGGTGTTTTTCATGGTTATTGATGAGGCTATTTGGTTCGGCTCTTCTAGGCTTAGGGACATCTATTGGTGCTATTTTGTGGATATATTTTCCTTGATTGACTTTTATGGAAAAATCCGGGAGTTGCTCGATATCTAGACCGGTGAACTTAAATCGTCCAAACTCACGTGTACCAAAGGGAAGGGTTTTCTCAAGTTTTTGTAATGCCCTTTCAAAGTTTTCATTCCCTCCGCCTATTCCATCATCCACATGGGTACCTAGAATACCATCTAGTTTTAATGGATCATTGGGATTTCTAAGGAGGAATAAACAGTTATCCAGGGGATGAGCTTGGAAACCAACGTCCTCTAGTCGCTTGCGAAACTCTTTATAGAAAAGTAAGGGGGCATCCACTCTACCGTAAGCATTTCCCTTTAGAAGGCATACTTGGTTGGACTGCATACCCATCAGTTCCTTGAGTTCCACAGGAGCCTCCATAGCCAACTGTCGATCGTCGGAGCGACCACGCAAGAAAGCTGTCGTGATGTCAAACGCTTGTATGGTCCATTGCATGCTTGACACCGTCTGCAGCAACAGCATTCGGGAATCCCGTGTCATCGTAGGACTGTCTGAGTTTAAGGAACCTACGTCCGGATCTTGAAACCCTTTCACAACCAGTCTTGCTTTGGCCTTTCGACCTTGGGGGGATGATTGGTCTTCTTTCCAGGTGAGAATCCATCTAGATGACATAATACGGGATGGATGGATGCGGTCTCGCATGATTGCTTGTACTGTATTGGTATCCAGCCAGCAATTTAGCTCCTTTTGTTTGGCTTTTAGAAAAAGCTCCTTTTCGGATAAAGTCAGTTCGCTATACTTCACTTCGTTTCGGGATTTCTTGGCAGCTGCTGTCAAACACTGGACGTTCTCATCGGGCCGTTTCGGAAACTTGGAGAGCTGTTGTTGTGGCAAGTCAAAGGCAAGAGACACGCACGTTTGTTCATGTTCGTCATTGGAAGTCCAGGCTGTGTCTATATCCCCTAACTCCAGTTCATGATTAACCCCATTCTCTATGATGGTTACATTATAGACTGGTTCCATGCTATCCATTGGACTACTGGACTCTCTGTCACTTTCCAGGGAGGCAGTGTCGGGGGATTCTGCCGCACTTGGTTCAGCACTTGGCTCGCCACTATCTTCAGCCTCCTGCAGGATTGAGGATGTCGGGGATTCTGGCACTGGAACCGATCGGGCAAGTTCCACCGCTTGGGCATCAAGTCGCAAAGTGCTTGACGGTCGACGGAAAGGTTCTTCCTCGGGTTGATTATTGGTGATAGGATTATTGGTAGTTATCTGTTGGGGATTATCTTCATCTTGTCTAGTGCCCGGGGTATCTATTTCACTTAGGTCTAAGTATTGAAATAGGCCACTTCTTTCCCTGAGTTTTCTTTGAAGTTGTTGGGACATCCTTTCCAGTTGGTCTTGTGTTGAGGTCTGGACAAAAGTTGAGTGACTCTGGAACTCTCGCATTGACACAGGTCTCAAGTTCTCTCTGGCACATCTTAACAACCTATTAAGGTGGGTAATCCAGATTATGGTTCTTGATTCCTGGCACACTATTTGGGCAGGTCCGTTCCATCTACCTTTTTCCAACATATTGGGTGACTTACGCTTATCCCAGTACATACAAAGTTGACCACATGCCCATGGATGGACTGTACCCCGGGACTGTCTCAGCATGGCTCGGCGTATGGAGTCACTGTTGTCGGCCTTGACAAAAGCTGCACGAGCAGCAGTTCTCATTTGTAGTCGCTGCTGGAATCGTGAGCTGGCCAAATCTTCACTCATCGAGGATAGGTGGGCACTGGTGTTTTCGTCTCCGACAATTGACGCTGGAAGACGGGCTGCTCTACCGAGGACTGCTTGTTCCGGACTGAAAGCATCCACAACTGACAACATGTTTTTGGCTCTAAAGCATTGGCTGAGTGCTTCATCAAATTGTGTTTGGTTTTCAATAGAAACATCTTGGTCCATGCGGCTGAGCATTTCCTTGATGATTCCACCGTGCCTTTCTATCCGGCCTCTCTGCCATGGTGCTGCTGACAGTACCGGTTGTATTCCATGCTGGAGGAGCATATCCTTCCATTCCGCTGTCATGAATTCACCGCCCTGGTCGTGGGCCATCTGTTGAGGGAAACCAGCCCAATTAAACCAAATGGTCTTTATGGCCCTTATGGAGTGGTTACTGTCCCTTTGTATTCGTTGTCCCAAGTGATAACGGGTGGCTTCATCAAGTACATGGAAAACGTAAGTTTTGAAACCCTTTTGGCTTGTCCATTCAAAACCATCCACTGATATCTTTTCATTGAACTCCTTGGGGTCCTTGAGTTGTCCAGGGGTGGTGAGACTGGGGCTACTACGTTCGGCACATGATGCACACAGGAAGTCACTGGCGCCTTCAACCAGGGCTCGTGGTGCATGATTCTCGGACAAATGTCTGGCCAGTTTCTCGGCTGTAGGGTGTCCCAAGTTATTGTGCAACTTGCGAACAGCTGATTTATCTGACTCTGACAAGGCTAGGTATTTGGGACCTGAGACACTTGCTGACATGGGTGTCCAAGTAGGAACATTCACAGGGATTAAGGATACCGGAGAATCTTCGTCTCGAACGGCGGTGTCCGGTACAGCTGGATTCTGAGAGGCTTTTGCTTCTGTCTCTCCGTTGGCTCTGCTTTGGTTCTGGGTCGCGAAGATGCAAAGCATGACATGACTCGGCCTGGCATGTCTATGTTGTTGTATCTTGGAAATGGTCGTCCAGTTCTCTCGACCCAGGTCCTCAATTTTGTTAGAGGCTCGCAAAAGCACTACGGTGTGACGGATTGGCAGCTCATTTTCCCAGCCAGTTTCGGCCAAGATATACCGATCTAGGCCTTTTCCCGCACGGATGGCACCTATCCGCAAGTCAGGCAGCTGGCTCTATACACTACGGAAAAGTTGATGCATGGGATTGGTCCATGTCTTGACTCCAGACTTTGGCAGTTCACATCTAAACTGCTCCATGATGTTTTGCCATGACGTGTGTTCATGTTCCATGTTTACATCAGGCGTTTCTTCATCTTCAACCTTTTGTTTCTTCTGTGGTGGCTGCATGTCTTCTGGTGTTTCGTCATGAACATGGTAAACTGGCTGTTCTATGGGCCCCTCTTTTCCTTTTATAATCCCTTTGACTATAGCCTTAGCAAAAACCCTTGGATAGTGGCTGGCAAACTGTGAAAGCTGCATGGTCTGATTTCTCCAATGGCATGTTCCTTCGATACGTGCATGGCTGTGTTGATGATTACAAAGACGTTGGTCCAACTGTTGAAACATTTCTCTGGAGGTAGTTTGAACTCGTGTCTTCTTCTGCATTGGTTCTTGACTTGTTGGATGCTGCAATCCAAACATACACTGATCAAGCTTGGCTGCTATGGACATGCGGAGAAATTCAGACAGCTCGTTTTGGTTCCACGCTTCTGATGTCCACGGTTGTTCCAAATGAGTGTGTCGTCCTTCTGAAGACTGAATCTTGGCCAAAAGATTGCAAAGCTTAAGATGGACCAAAGACTGTTGTTGGATCTGTTGGACACGGCGGAAACCAAAAACACTCCTAGCTGCATTGAATCGATTCCAGGCGCACCATGGCTTACATTCTGGCGGAAGCCAGAGATGCTTCGGCCGATATAGCATGACTTGAAGCAACAAGTTGTTCCTACCTTCAGCTGTGCTAAGATCTCCATCCTCAAAGGTGAATCGACGTGCTTTGAGACCACATGCATTGGCAACTTCTGTGAGCTTGCTGTTGGAGTGTGCATAAACTTCTAGGAGATCTAGTTGGGGGCATTGGTTATTTCCCTTGTTGATCAGCTTGTAAACTTCTTTCAACCACATGGCTTCTTCGGGACTTGTGATTAACGTGTCATGCTGTGCCAAGTGAACTCGGCTCTCTGGGATCGGTTGCCAGGCACCGGCTACTGGTTGACGTTCAGTGCAGCGGCTTCCAGACGTTGTCTGGTCAGGGCATAGTTTCCGAAATCTTCCATCTCTCCTTCGTTCATGTTGCCCATGCGGGCGAGAACCCATCGCACATAGGAGTTGTCGGTCTCGTAGACGGTCTGGAAAGTCTTGCCTGGATGCTTCTTTCCCCAGTTGATCACTTTTTGGCCCCAACTGTGAAGAGCTTGCTGAGTCAGGGCGATCTGATTTCCTGGGTCGGCTGGCATCGGTGCTGGTTTGGACATCGCTTTGGCAGGGCGACCAGTCAAAGGCATTCCTGCGATTCTCATGGGAGAACCAGGGCTTGCTGTCGCCGCCGTCGTTGGAGCTTTGGTCAAAGCCCTCGGTGGGGAAGTATTTGGCATCATTCCAGCACAGCCGCTTGGTGGGATGAACTCTTCCTCCTCCATCTCGGCAAGTTCCCATAGGTCTGAACCGATTTCGGGCTCTTGAATTGGTGACGTAGGTCCACTGGATCTCGTCGGCGGGTCCAGAAACTTCTGCGTGATCAGGTTTCCCAGCTCCGTGATCTTCATGCGCTGTGTCTTGACTTCGTTCACCAATTGCTGGATTGGTGTCACATCCTGGTCTGACATGTTCTCGTTCGGGTTGATCGCCTTGGTGAGAGAGAAGATCATGAAGAACAGCACTCTCAGGCTTTCGATCACTTCCTCTGAGAGAGACCTCAGACCCTCGAGGATCTCCTGACGCGTCGGCATGTTGTGGCTGGTCAGGTATCTCGAGACCAGGTGGGGCTGATATCGGCGAACTTGATGTCACAAAAGCTGCTGCTGTTTCACTCTTGGCATCTTCACAAAGGTCGGAAATGTCAATGACAAAAAGTCCATTGTTATTTTCTTGCAACACAAGTGATCGATTGAGTTTCTTCAGATGGCATTGGCTGCTTCCTAAGTCTATTGTTGCTCCAAGACTCTTCATGGTTTTGATAGACAATAGAAACGGAGTGGCTTTTGGGACTACTTCCACTAGCAACCATATGCGTTGACTTCCATGCATGAGAGGTATCTGAAGTTGCTTAAAACTGTACTCGATCTGATTGTTGCCGAACCTAAAACCAACCTTGCTTGGGACTTCTCTGACTTGTGCTCTGGTGGCAGCAGGCAATTTTTGCAGGACCAATGGGACATTCTCCGCTCCAATCACGCTACGACTGGCACCTGTGTCCAGTATGGCAAGGCCTGACATTTTGACTCTCCTATCGTGCAACTGACTGGACAGACATTCGGCATCGGGTGTTCCGTCTCGGGATGGCTTCTCAGGAATCGGCTGACTCCTGGGCATGGGTTTGCAGAAACCCTTGGCTGACTGTGCATGAATCCCTGAGTACTTAACCCCATTATCCCTTTTATTACCCAACTTATATTTACTCATGCGTGACTTCAGAAACTGGATGGCTTGTTGACTGGCACTGTCGGAAATTCGGATGCTTTCGGATGCAGTTCGGGAGTGGCTATGTACAACATAACTGACCTCGATCTTTGAAGACCCCGCCTCGGTGTGCTCGACATTCTCAAAGATGACCTGTGGGAGATCGGGATGATGGAACTCGTCCTCATCTTCATGCACCACGTTCACTGTCTCCTTGTTGGAGTCCTTTTTCTGAGGGCACTCTGCTTTCCAGTGGCCGACCATTCCACAAATCTTGCAGTGCGTTCTGCTGATTCTGGCGAGCAGTTCTTCTTTGCCTCCTCGATGGCCTCCTTTGCGTCCACCTCGTCCCGCAAAGAAATCTCGTCCACCTCCTTTGCCTCGAGATTTGGAGGGCCAAAAGCCCCGTGATCGCCTCCTTTCGGAGATCCGTTGCCTCGCTTCTTGATAGGAGACCAAAGCGGCCTGTAAATCAGGCACTTCTTGCATCATGTCTTCTAGATCTCGTTCAAATTGTTGTACCACAAGCGCATCTTCATCTCCATTGTTTGCCATTTGATCCAGAATTTCTGTAGTAAGGGCTTCTTCTTCTTCTGACATCACATGGTAGGTGCTATGAAAGGGTGGTTCCACCTCTTGATGCTTCGGCACCTCTTCTGGCTCGACGAAATTCGTCGGGTAGATCTTCTTCTTGGGCTCCCCATTGGAGAGCAGGACCTTTGTTGACAAGGTCCTCATAGCTTGTTCAACTGTTTTGACCTGGAGATTTCCGTTCGTCATCGACAGGACCTTTTTCTTGTCCTCCACACTGAGCGACGATTGCCGCAAGAGAATGAAAGCCTGCATCTCTTTCAGTGACGTCTTGTCGCCTAAGTCATCAAAGGCGGCCTGAAGACGAAGGACATAACTGTTGGTGGCCTCATCGTTCTTTTGATTCACCTTGTAGATGGCCTTCTCGAACAATTCGAATGTTCTCATCTCTGTCGTCTCCTCCCAGGAGGCAAGTGCCTCCAACAGGTAATCAACTCCCTTTGCAGGATCTGTCAGGGTTTTGGGATCCAAGCGTCGAACTTGGCTCCATGCGGTGCCACGACAAAGCATTGCTAAACGTGGAGCTAAATTGGGACGATCTTTCTCAGGGAACACTCCATGCAGAAAACGAGCCTTCTGGGTGAATTCACGGATATCATCAACTGTCGGATCAAAACTTGGCAACTGGTTCCACAGGCTGGTGGATCTCTCCTCCTGGGAACTTGATGCCTCAGACATTCTTTCACCTGGCCTCAGTTGTTTCTGGACCCTTTTCACATCCGGCTTTTCGTGCTTAGGCTTGGTAGCACGAGCACTTCGGCTCCGCTACCAGTATGAGAGGTCTTGGGGACCCCTCGACACTGGTAGCCCTCAACCAAACTGATGTTCCTTGACCTCAAGGATGTAGAACCACAAGTGAATCTGTCCTCAGAATGATAGTTGTTCCAGTTAATACCAACCAAATACCCAAGTGGGGAAACACCGGCAACGATCCCACTCCAAATGGCGCCCTGCGCTTGTTTTTCCCTCTAATCCTGAAAGTCTGGCCCTTGAGCCACACCAAGCGATCGCGGACCTTCATCCACTGCATCAGCTGAAACCCTTGGCACAATCGAAGGTCACCTAGTGGAAGCTATTTCAAATCACATATGTATACGTATATTTAATGGATTACATTTTAAAATGATCTGATGTACGTTAATGGGTTGTACAATGATGATATATAATGGGATGTTGCCATGAAATTCTGTCTGCACATGTGGAAGTTTCCACCCATCTTATGGCAACGTCCATGGGGAAAATGATGATCAATCTTTACATGTGGGGGTTCCAAACATTTTCAAACAAAACCACTTGAACAATCAACTAATGAATGGATCATCTGCAACATTTCAAGGCGAAACCTAAGGTCATAGCATGTCGTACCTGTTGCCAACTAGATCCAACTAGTATTGAAGGATCCCTTTTCATCAATATATTTTGGCCGCAGGACATCATCCAGCTTTGCTTTATTCGCTTCGTGGCTGCGCCTTGACATGTACGACTCTAGCTCGTCAGCATAGGGTGCTGCATCAGCCTTCCCAGAATGGAAATATGTGGCTGTCATAGAAAACAATCTTTTGATGTGATGATGGGCATAAAATCCTTCACTCACTCTCAAGCCGAAGTGCCTTATGTCTTGTGCGTTCCACCTTGCGCTCGCATGTGCAACCTTTTACTGGTGTCATGCGAAAAAAACAAGTGCCACTCATTTCCACGTCGGGCCTCCAACATTAGTTGGCCACTGGCCAGCTGCATCCCTTTCTGCTGCAACCGCAGGAACTCTTCATGGAGCCGTTGCGCTTGGTCGGCCAAAGGGTTCAAGACCTGCGGGGATCACGGAAATTCATGGGGGCCGGGATGGGAAAGTGGCTCCAAGCTTGAGCCACGCGGTGAAAATTCAGTCTCCTAAACTTGGATACCAAGAGGTTTTCTCAAAAAAAATCTTGGAGACCACGTAGCAATGATCCCATCCCGCCTGTGCTGGCAGAGTGGCCAGCTTCTGATGCAGAGACTCAAATCTTTGCATCCCAGATTGGATGGCCTGGCCGATCCGCGGTCGTGCTCATATTCAGTGAACTGTCCATGGTGCCGTTTAAAACCACAAACTTCAAAATCTCCACGGAAAAAATATCAGCCAGGATCTCTCAGGTCCATATATCCTAGCTGACTTCTTCCAGAGAAATGTTTTCAGCTGAGAATCATTGTTTGCCATGAATATCCCATGAAAAAACAATGGAAAATATGGTGAAATATGGTGAAATATGGTGAAATATGGTGAAATATGGTGAAATATGGTGAAACATGGTGAAATGAGCAATCTCGAAAACCCTAGGTTCACGGAAAGGACATCCACAAATTTGGGAAGGTCCCATCGCTTACCACACGTTTGTACAATAATGATATATGGTAAACTTGGGGGTATTGCTTGCAGGAAACTGCTACATTTATATTTATATATATATACATATACATGTGATTCACAGAAATCAACGTCCAATTTGGGTATCGCTAATGCGGATATTAGAGAAATACAATGACGTAACCTTGGGAAGGGGTATCGCTAATTTGGGAAGGTCCCATCGCTTACCGTGTGTTTTTAACAATTTCCATCAATTTCCATAAACCAATGTCCGTCCAATACATATTTAGTATTGCCGGGGTTTTTGCGGTGGCTCAAATATAGCCAAATGTCCCATAAAATGACGATTTTCCCATATGTTCGACCCAAAGATCCACCGAACATCAGCGCCTGCATGGCCGCCTGCAGGCGTTGTTCAGTGGCCGGCGACGCTGCGCCTGCTCCACCGGCTAATCCACCTGAGGAAGGCGATTTGAATGACTTTGGTTATCAAAAATCAGAAAATGCCATGGTCAAATATGAAAACACTAGATAAAATAACATAAAAATATGATGATGAAATATCATAGTGGTAAAATATGTTAAAATTTCAAATATGAAAAACAATATGATGATGAAATAATCTCATCAGACTTGCAGTGAAACAGAAAGGCTCTGCGCCTGGTGATCGTCGGGCGCCGAAGCTCCCCGGACGCTGCGACGCATCGACGGCTGCGACACTGGCTGCTCCAGGTAGACTACGGGGACCGGTGATGCCAAACCTGCCGGATGTGAAGCTAGGGATGGCCCGGATGGTTCAATGGTTTAGTGGGTTTGGAATGGTTTCATAATGTGCCAAAATGAAATCCAATGAAACAGATGTAGAATTCAGGGATTTCAAAATTGTGGGTTTGATGATTTTTTGCAGCACAAAGTTTGGTTTTCAAGAGAGCAACAGTTGGAAGTTCACCAGTAAAATGTGGGGGAGTTGAGAAGCAAAAACGGGGATGAAGAGTTCCCTGAAAATGAACAACACCTGCGGGTCCAGAGTCTTATCCAACCTGAAACCACCAAATATGGTGATGTTCCACTTATATAGCCATATGCCATATTTGATCAGGAGATGGTATCTGCTTCTGAAAAATGTTTGCTTTGGGCGAATGGTATTTGACAATTACAAGATCGTGAAAGCTGCTGAAACACTGTCTGGGAAAACAAGAAGCTCAGCCGCTTAATATTCAAACTTATGGAAACAGCGTTTGAGATTCAAACATCATCGCAGTTCAATTGAGTAGTTCAGGTTAGATTTAAACAGAGTAGCAAAGAAAGAGTGAGGATTGTCATTAAACCTGAATAACTTAGATCAGGAACAGGTATCATAAACATATCATATAATTGAATGTGTTGCTTTTAGACTTGAACATGCCCTCTTTCGCCATATCCGCTATTCTGTTGGCCCCGGCAGCCTTCGTGCGACCCCATTGACAAAGACCGCAAGATCTCTGTGGAAGGTGATGGCTTCCTGCGAGGCTATAGTGAAACTATGGCGATGGTCGCCAACGTCATAAACTAAGTGCGGACTCCCTTCCTGAAGAAATCATCTCTTAATAATATTGCTGCTACCGAAAACGCCAAGTTCAATGGTAACAGGACTGGCAAACAATGGCAAACATATCAAATTCTCATGGTGGCATTTCCACTGTGCAATATCTACCCTTTGAAGACTTTCATATCCCACAACAGAGATGCCTCTTCTAATTCTGGCCCAGCATTGCCGTTGATGGCCACCAGCTTCTTCTGCATATTCTCGAAACGTTCGTGGAGCTTTTGAGCTGGTTGCGCAATCTGCTGCAACTCGGGAGCTGGTAGCTGCGCAATCTGCGGTTGCAAATCTTCAAATCTCTGCATGAGACCTGCAATACCTTCGACCGCATCTTGCAGCGCTGCACTTTGGGTGCTGGGCGCTCTACAGGGCGGTTGCGGTGCTTGCGGCAATCCCGAGAATTGCCCTGCCACTGGTACCATCAAGGCAAACACGGCCAGTGATATGATGGCTGCCATGGCCAACGGCAACGCCACTGTCAGTGATGCCATGCCAGGCCACCACCTGGCCACCACCCGACCACCCGACTATGCTGTGGTCCAATTTCTCAGGGGTGTGCGCTTAATCTGTGTCGGCTACGTACAGGTTTGGGCATGGTGTTGCTTTATGCTGGAGGGATGCAATGTCTTCCAAACGAGCTGACTGGTGTAGTCTCCATATGGCCATTCCATGCCATTCCATGCCATTCCTATCTGGATTTAGGGCAGGGAAGTTGCAATTTCAAAGGGTTCTTCAACGTTTTTTTTTGTGTGTCACATATCCATGGAAAAGCGATCGCAGCATGGGCTTCAAGTTTTGGCAGCGAGATGAATCTGCTGAGATCCGAGCCGCCATGATTGCAGAGAGATTCTCGCGGCGCAAGCTGCCCATATGTGGCCATATGTGGATGTTCGGTTTCCCAGTGAAATGCAACTTCTAGTAACTAGTAGCTGACACAACAAGCAAGCTATCCCAGATCAGGTGCGAGTCAAATCAATTCAAGTCAAATAATATCAAACGGAGCTGATCACAACGCTGTCCCCATCTTGACCACTGAATGTCGGCGCGCGGCTTTTGGACATTCGATGGTAGCTGGTCGAGTGTGAAGTGGGCAGCGCGCTCAATTCATGCGACGCAACAGGTCGTTGATAAGCTCCTCGTCCCGCATCGCCAACCCCCCATTTGATGCATCAACAAAATGGTTCAAAAAAAGGGCTCCATCGCCAGACCAAGACAGTTGACATTCGATACCAAACCTGCCAAAGGTTGCTGATAAAATCCTCTGCTATAATGGATATTCTGTATTCTACCTGCTGCAAGAGGTGCTACAGTTGACTTGTGAATGTAAACGTGGCCAGAGGGGCCAGAGGGGCCTTCAAAGGACCTTTAGCACCACAGAACACTCAAGTCGTTGCTTCCCAATGGCGCCAGCAAAGTCTGGACCCGCCTCACGATTGCCCCAGTCGCCACCCCTGGCTTCGCAGAAGCCGTGACCTTTCTTCGCTGGGAGGACTGGAGGTGCAAGGCGGTGTGTTCACAAATAGTTTAAACGTGGAGACAAAAATAGACAAAAACAATGTGTTGTGACTGTGACAACTAACACAGAGATTTGTCACTCGGTTACTGATTCTCAATCTCCAACCAAATCTCCAGTTGTGGTAAGTTCATTCAGAATTAAGAGCCTTTTTGTAGCTTGCAAGTACCGGTCTTAACTTGTAATAAGATGGGTTGCCAAAAGAGATGATCCGTACTATAAATAGATTACACAGAGTCACCAATGATGATATTCTGGCACCAAAAAAGGGCAATCCAATGCTGAGTCCCGGGACGCTTGTTGATGAAGCCGCCCTTGGGGGAGGAGAGCTTGAAGGGCCATAGGAAGTTCGAGACCTTCCCGGAGCAACACAGTCGAAGCTTCAGAAATGTCCGGTGACTGACTGCCATCGCGGCCTGCTTGAAGTTTGGGCCCACGGTGTAGATCTCATGGATGATGTCCTCCACTCCGTGGATGCCGTGCCTGAAGTCAAGCGTGACAAAGTCTCAAGAAATCCAACCTCTGTTCCAAGACTTATTCCCTCAAGCACCAAGTTGATTCAGGATGCATTCATCCCAAGTTGGGAGGACGATGGGGGTCCCAAAAGATGGTGATTTCCCAGGAAAATATGGCACATGGATGCCTTGATCCTGATGCAAGCCATGCAAGCCATGCAACTTGCCCAGGCTGTCAGAGATGATGTCGTTGGAGCTCAAAGGGATGCGCTGCTTGCTGACCTTCACTTACAAATGGACAGCATATGGACAGCATATGGACAGCATATGGACAGCATATCATCATTCAAAACACCAAAAAAACCTGGCTCTCTAACTTTCTCTGACTTTCTGAGTTGCAGACCTTGCCGAAGCCGCGCTTGTAGATCAGCTCCCTCACGGTCTTCAAGGAGGGGAAGCCATAGGTCACGTAAGGCTGCACCAGCTTCAGCATGTTCAGAATTGGTTTGTTGACCTGACAAATCTGTGCTATGTGATGCTTCTTGCGTGCAGTTTTGGGGCATGGGTCACCTATTGGGGCTAGTAGAACAACCGATAACCACAGCGTTGCCTTCAGAAACACGCCATTGTGCAACTGCTTCAATCTGAGCAACTGCAGCACTTTCCTGACAGCAGATCAGTAAGAAGGGGGACTCAACATCTCTCACAAGGAAAGACAAATGCTGAATTGCTGAATTCATTGTCTTCCTGAGAATTGGGGATAACCCCCCAAAAAATCGCCCAAAGAATCGCCTCAAGTGACCTGAAATTTAGAAAAACTGGAGCGACCCATGTCCGACATCTGGCCTGGGCTTTGGGCTCATTTTGATGATTCCCGCAATACGAACTACAAAGAGCAGCTTGGCCTGCAACCAGCGCAATCCGCAAGGACATATTCTAAAGCTGAACGCAGCTGTTGGCTGTGGGAACTAGTCAGGTGTCCGAAAGAAGTAGAACATCTAGAATCCTGACTTTGGGCTACCACCAAATCACCAGTTTATATAATTTAATAGGATTTTCCATGAAAAAAACCATTCACTAATAGGGGCACCCCCATGACGTAGGAAACCTCCATATCAATCGCATTCAAATTTCTTGTGACCTCGGGTTCGACGAAGAAGTTGCCATTGAGTTTCGCTTCCCGTCGCAGCTTCACAAGCTCTGCGGCAGTGTCAGCGTACTCCTGGCTATCCCCATCCGAAACGGTGTGTCTCAGTGGGAAACTCCTGGGCCCACTGGGTTTTTTCGGGATCCCAGGGATCACCCAAAGTTCACAAATCCACAAATGGAATGAGTCAATACTGGACAATAATTGTCAGAAAGGCAGTTCTCCTTCTCATAGGCAGCCGTGCGCTCCTTGAGCTTTGCACGTTCCTCCTGTGTGGAGAGCACATTCCCATGACTATTGCACCATCGTCCTGGTTCGTATGGTTCCAAGACTCAAATGGTATCCACTACGCACAAACTGTGCAGAGAAAAAAAAATCTGAAACTGTTTCATGGCATAAGGTATGGAGAGTGATCAAAAATATCAACCCTGAAAATTGAACAACTAGTTATTATATACTTGTTGCCTATTGCTTCAGTAGACCATAAAATGACCAATTTTGTGGTTCCATTCAGAATCCCCTTTTGCGAGCACCATCCCCACCACTACAATCGTCTGAACCCAGACATCTCGAGTCTTCTGCTTCTCGGCCAGCGCTTGCTTCTTTGCCTCACATGAGACTCGGTCCGGCAAAGACGGGGTTTCATTACCATTTTTGTGGTTCGTTCGATGGTTGGTGCAGGCCCAGTTTTGCCAGTTCCAAACTTGTAAATTCATGTAAAATTTACTGCTTATATAATTTCTAGACATTGTGCAATTTGGCATAGGCATATGATAGGAAAACATGTTGGTTGCGAACATGGCACACCAAATTGAAGATTGATTCTCAGCTGGCTCGGCTGAAATCTGGGTCTGAAAATTTCGTACCCCCCAAAGCCCCAAATCCTGTGTGTTTTCATCATAGTTCCAATCAAAGTGCTGTTTTGTGGTATCCCCCATATCCCACATTGACTTAAAGCCATTTCCACCTCGGCCAGTTTCGCTTCGGTTTCCATCTTCAACTTCACCAGCTCTGGCACAGCAGCACCTTCCGGTACCTCCACCTGGGTGAGTGTGCCCAATGGGGTTGGCCACATGGCATTTGGCTCCATTCATCGCAATTCCAATAGGGAAGCCAGTCATTTTTGGGGATAAACCCAGATCCACAACAATTGACATCCGTCCTGGGAGATGGCATAACGTTCAGCCATTGCGTCGGCTACCAGCTACCGTTTCGCCCCGTTTCTGCCACAGGCCTTGACAGCAAGCAGCAGCAGCAGCAACAAGATGCACTACCCAAGAAACGTCTGGAACATCATTGAAGATGGCAATAAGAAATCCCTAAAAATAGTTTCTTTAATGAGAAAATCATCGAATCATCCGGGTTCGAATTTGGAAGGTTCACAGTTCAGCTTCCGTTGCTTCAACTTACATATGTCAAGTACATGAAAGTGCATAACACAAAGCAGCAGCTGCTGGGGTTCCCTATTTTTCAGCGTGGTGCAAAATGATCTCGAAGGGGGCTGGACACTAATTTGATACCAGCGGGTTGACACATGTACAGACCACAAGATCAATTTGTAACCCCCCAACACAAAACGACAAGCCAGAGGTACATACCCAAGAACCGGGGTAGTAATCTGGTTGAACAGGTGGGGAGTTTGGAAATGCACCCCCTACTCACCACCGTAAAGTCCACGGACGGTGGAGCAAGGGGATGGTGGAGGGGAGAAATACGATATGCAAGCTTGAAGCAAAACGGCAACGGACCGATGAAGTTCCGGGTCCTACCTGTGAACAACTATGTACAAGTACAAACCACGTTCACAGTTCAGCTTCCGTTGCTTCAACTTACATATGTCAAGTACATGAAAGTGCATAACACAAAGCAGCAGCTGCTGGGGCTCCCTATTTTTCAGCGTGGTGCAAAATGATCTCGAAGGGGGCTGTACACTAATTTGATACCAGCGGGTTGACACATGTACAGACCACAAGATCAATTTGTAACCCCCCAACACAAAACGACAAGCCAGAGGTGCATACCCAAGAACCGGGGTAGTAATCTGGTTGAACAGGTGGGGAGTTTGGAAATGCACCAAAGAAAGTCGAAAATCGACCAGCCGGAGTCGCAAACTCCCCCAAAAAGGAATCGATTGAGGGAACCCACAGTCAGCGGACTGCCGCAGCGCTTTTTTACGTCAATGCCAAATTTGGACGGCCATTTCCGGCCAGACTGAGCAATGCAGACTGGAGAAGACGCAAGGAGCACCTGCCACCGCACTGGACAGTGGTTGCTCACTGTCAGTGGTTCAGGAAGGGGCTGCTTGAATCGACTCAACGAGTCCGCAATAGTATTCAGATGACCAGGGACATGGGTCAATCTTGGAAACACATGGTAGCGTCGCATGAACCTGTAATATGGAGCCAGAACTGTAGAGACCGCAGGTGTCATGGAGAGTCCTTTCGCTGATGCTGCATCAGCTGCACTGTTGTCTGTCCCTTGTTGGCAGGCAACAGGACCGCGACCACGAGGGAGTGCAGATTCAATGCAGAACGTCAGTGCAAACTGTGCCAGGAGTTCCCATGCAGCAATGTGCTTCTGCATGTCCGACCCGACCCAAGGCCACAACGCTTGAGCTTCAGAGAGCGTGATTTGGAATTGAAACCACACCCAAACGCCATTGGGAAACATCGCTGCCCCCCCAAAGCCAGCAAGAGATTGAGATGCCATTGCGTCTGCTGTGGCGGTGATGTCCAAAAAGGTAGCTGGTGACATAGACAGCGAAAAAGGGGTAGACACAAGGAGTTTCTCCCATAGGCTCATGGCTTCTTTGGCCTCATCATCCAATGTACGCATGGGTGATGTGGGATCCTGAATGCCCACCCAAATGCGTCGGGATTTGATGTGTAGCTTGGCTGCATCATCCAAGGTGTGCACATTCGTGTTCGCCACTCTCACTAACCTGACTTGTTGGCAAAGAGACTGATGTCTGTGAGTAAAGCCAGTTGTAAGTGTGAGTTGCGGTGACAGTTCACCCAGGAAATGTTGGTATGTGACATGGTCCATGCCCACCATGGTTGTAGGGATGTGGTGCATAGCCTTGTACAGTGGGATGAGCAAAGGCCTGAGGAAATGCCATCCCGATGTGAGCCAAAGCAAGCGACCCACAATGGACTGCATGTCTTTAAGTGGCACTTTGGTGCAGTCCCCAAACTTGCGCAGCTGTTGTACAATGCGCGAGATTTTCTCCTCGGGGATGGAGATGGACCACGTCAGAACAGAGATACGCCATCCGATCCAGTCCACCTCAACGTCCAATGATGCCTTATGCCATGACATGGGAATACCCAAGATGAGAAACAGCACGACCAAGAGTGATGCCCACAAAGGAGATGAGATGCGATCAAGCCATGCCAGCAAGTCATCAACATACTGCCACAATGCGTGACCATGGGCAAGGAGTGCGTGGCTTGTGCGGACCATCAATCCGGCGACCCTGCCCCAGTACCAACCACTGGCGCGTGCACCGAAGTTCAACGTGATGCAACGGTACAGTTTCCCGTTGGCATGGAAACACAGCATGCCACCATCCTTAGGATCAATGAGGATGCGGCGGTGCGCTTTTGACACATCCAGTGTAAGTTGAATCATCTGCTGTCTGGCCATAGAGTCAGGTGCGCATTCCATAACATCAGAGATGCGTGGGAGAGTCATGTGGTTAGGGATCACAGTATTGGCAGTCACGTTGCTGATGGAGCTATCCACGACCAGCCGAGGTGATCTGCCTTCAGAAATCACGACACCCAACTTGCCCACAGCAGTCCGCTGAAACTGTTTCTGGAGTTCAGGTACGCCGCCAGGAACTAAAGCTATGAAACCAGCTGCAAGTTCTTCTTTGATCAGGTCCTCCACAATGGCAGGGTGATCAGCTGCGCTCTTCCACGAGTCATGCCACACCAATAATGGTTCAGGGTCAGAAACCACACCATCATGAACTTGCCAAGATGGTGAGGGTTTGAGTGACTCATTGACACCCAAGGGAACACCCTTCACAAGGTCCAAGAGGAAATCAGCATCAGGGTCAGACAAAGACTGCGCCAAAGTGTGCCAGAGGTAGAGCCGAAACGGTTGTCCAGGAGGAATGTGAAGAAGGTGATCACCAGGAGGACAATCAAGCACTTCCAACATGTCATCGATGTAAGGTTGTAGGTCCACATCCGAAAGGGGTGGGTGTTTGCAACCTGATGTCAAAGAAGCTGTGATCTTGAAACAGTGTTTGGTATCACTCAACCTTCGAAACCAACGGGATCGCAATGACGCCAGCTTGTCATGGGATGGTCTGAGCATGTGAGCGGCTGTGCTATTAAGCCCTCCTCCATCTTCGACACGCGTAGGCAGGCGTGGCCACTTGAGTGATTGAGGGAGCGCCGCTTGCCAGTTGTCAATGGGCAAAACCATGGAGTTCTTGGTGACGTAAGGGGCAATGATCAATGCCAAGGCATGAGCCAGATCAGGCGGATATTCAGCAGTGATGCGACTGAGGAATGACCCATCTGACATCCGGACTCCCGCGATCTGTTGATGTACATTTGCTCCATGAGGGCAAGATTTGGCAAGTGCAAAAATGTCAGGTCTGTTGGCCACGAACATCCAAGCTTTTGCCCAGTCTTTGCCAAACTGGCAAGCAGAGGCTTGGGCCGCAAACGGAGCCACAGTGTGGACCCACTGGACCATGAGAGGGTCGTCCCATGTCATCGATGTGGCGGGATTTTCCAAAATGGCCAACCCCCCCTTTTTGTCAACCTCTGACAATAAAATGCGCGATCTGTCGTGGATAGCAGCACTTTCTTCAACTGCCAGTTGCTGTAACGGAGAGTTGGAGGGAAGGCCATCAATAAACTCTGGCGTTCTGACAGGGGCAGGGCCTGGAGGACGAAGAGTAGCCCTGCTGTGTTTGCTACAATAAGGCGCAGCCAATGCTGCCCCAATCATACCTGATGCTGCCAAAAGAAGCACTGCTTCGAAGACGCTGTCATCCAGCAAGTCATGGCCATGAATAAGGTCCACCGGTTCGACACGATCACATGCAAATGGGACAAGGGCCATACTCACTGGCATGGTCGCCCCGGCAAAAATGTCAAGAAAAAATTTGGGAGCAGAACACGATGCAAGTTGTTCGAAAATGCCAGAATTCTGAGAAGGTGCACGGGAGACTTCTACCTTCGATGCTGTATGAACAGAATCGGGTGGCTCCAATGACTCAGCCAGGTCCTGCAACTGTTGTGGAGGAACTGAATTATCGCTTTCCTGCTGCAATGGTCAGTGTGGTGCCGACTTGTGTCGGGCTGCTGTATGAAAACCTCCACACGGTTCTCCATTGGCCTTCGGTACTGGGCATTGGTGAGCAAAGCGACAAGTCTTACCAGACTTGCACTTATTCAAATTGAAGCGCATACAGATCCCTTTTCCGTCAGGCAATTTGCGAAGCCAAGCATTGTCCCATTTCAATTCCTTGGTGTCAGGCTTCGGCTGTTTGGGTGAGTCGTTACCTGGGCTGGCGGTCTTGGGCTTCTTGGGAAGCGGCTTTGGAAGATCAGGTCTGCGCTTGGGCGGATCCTGCTTCGGTTGTTGTACCGGACGAGGACGAGGTGCCAAGGAGGTATGAAAAACCTGCCTGCAGAAGGCCACTTCATTGAGGACATCATTGAGTGTCCACTTCGACTCATATAGCAGGTCTGTGACAGCGGACCATGCAACCCTGTCAGCATCCAAAATTTCCGACAACGATGGGGCACGCAGGTGCTGATCTCGTGGTTTTGCCAAAGCCAGGTGCGCAGAGCCCAACATAGCCAAAGCAACAGATAAAAGGTTTGGAACTTGGCCAAAACAACTTCTGTAGGGGCTTGGTGATTGATGACTGCTTCAGGCTGTTCATTGAGAACTGAGTCACCTTCAGTGAGCAGTGAGCGAAGCAGTTGGCGATCATTCCTGGGTCTGCGATGTTCAGCAAACGCTTGTTCATCTGCTTCAGATGTCCTGCTTTTCCATGGAATCCAGGTGAAGTTGTTGGTGTCAATCGCGTCCTTGAGGGTGCACAGAAAGGACAAAGACGGCATAGTCCCGGGCAGCAACAACTCACCTGGATAGTTCTGGCAAAACTCTGTTTTGAGTGCTTTGACATCTGCCACCGACAAACGTGTCTTAGTGGGTGGTGCTGTAGGGGCATCAATGGGAGTATCACGTCCTGACAGCACA